AAATGGTGGTTCTAGGCAGCAGCAGCAGCAGCAGTGGCAGTAAGCAGCAGCTTAAAATTTCTTAGAAACACACATATACAGCTTTGCATGGAAGTACATGCCTGTAATTCCAGTGTTCTAGATGCCTGCAGCAGGAAGGTCATAAATTAAACCGCAGTTTGGGACACTGTGTAATTTAGTGACACCTGGTCTAAAAATTTTTAAAATGTAAAAGGGCTGGAGACTTTGCTCAATGCAGAGGCCCTGGGTTCAATTTTTATTACTGGAAGGAGAAAAAAAAAAAAAGGAAGAATAAAAAAAAAGCCCATATCCTAAACCCACTAAATTAAATTTTTTATATATATTTTTGAGCCAGGATCTCACTATGCAGTTCAGACTGGCCTTGAACTCACTTTGTAGCCCTGACTGGCCTTAAACTTGCAGTGATCCTCCTGCCTCAGCCTCTCAAGTGCTAGGATTACAGACATACACTACCATACAATTTGCTTTTTTTTTTTTTTTTTTTTTTTTTTGTCTTTTTCATTTTTATTGGTACTGGAGATCGAACTCACGACTGCCTGCTTGCAAGGCAGGTGCTTATGCCACTGAGCTAAATCCCCAGCCCCACAATTTGCTTTTTTCGGGCTGGGGATTTAGCTCAGTGGCATAAGCGCCTACCTTGCAAGCAGGCAGTCGTGAGTTTGAGACCCCTGGTACCGATAAAAACGAAAAAGACAAAACAAACAAACAAATTTGCTTTTTAAAGAAAATTTTCAAATGATTTGTTTGCTTGGTAAAATCTTCAAACCAGAAAGTAGACCTAAATCCCAGGGGAAACTGGTTTATGCCCACCTGTGTAACTGACCCTCTGAGACTCTTGGCATGGTTGTTAGGGGCAGCTGTGAGTTGGCTGGTGCTGTAAGAATTTGGATATTAAATTGCAGCCACAGGCTAGGAAATTACTGCAACAAAGGGAACCTCCGTTGTATTACTGCAGCCAACATCTGCATGGTGGACTGATGAGAGGCCCAGGAAATACGCTGTGCTAAGTGTTGCTTAGAAGCTTTATTATTACCACCTCCAAAGTGAAGAAATTGGGAGGACCCTTTTTTTTCCCCAAATCCATTTGCAAGGCAGGTGCTTATACCGCTGAGCTAAATCCCCAGCAGTCCATTTTATTTCAAGAATATATATATATATATATATATATATATATATAACTCACAACCTCACACTTGCCAGGCAGGTGCTTATGCCACTGAGCTAAAAAACTACAAAATTTCAAAACACATAAATCAGGGAGGACCCTTTGATTTAACTAAATTGCGCTCAATTTGAAAATAATTCAAAAAATTTTTTTTGGTACTGGGGATCGAACTCATGATCTTGCACTTGCCAGGAAGGTGCTTATGCCGCTGAGTTAAATCCTCAGCCCCTCAAAACATATTTAAAAAAAAAAAAACATTTTTAAACCTGGCATATTTAAACCTGACATATTTTTTTTGGTACAGAGGATTAACTCAAGACCTCACTGTTGCCAGGCAGGCGCTTATGCCACTGAGCTAAATCCCCAGCAAACCTGACATATTTAAACACATGCCTAGATGGGGGCTGGGGATTTAGCTTAGAGGAATAAGCGCCTGCCTTGTAAGCAGGCAGTCGTGAGTTCGATCCCTGGTACCAATAAAAAAGAAAAAGACAAAAAAAAATTAAACAAACAAACAAACAAAAAAACAACACATGCCTAGAATCCCAGCACTCTGGAAGGCTGAGATGGAGGGCTGAGAAAAGGTAGCTTAGTGTAAAGACCCTGGGTTCAATTCCCAATACCACAAAACAAAAAACTATGTTTGCACTGAAACTGTGCTTATGTATTTATTTATATATCTTTTGGGAAGAAGTCAGGCATGGTGACTGTGCATATTTATAATACTGACCTGGAAATGTGTTGACACCAGACTTACCCTTGAAACATCTTTAAGAATTGTGATGAAATTCTCCCCTAACAACAAATAGGATTAGCCTGGCAAGCTGGACTATTGCACCGACTGCATTTTAAACCGGAAGGCACTGTAAAATAAACAGTGGCTAGAATCCAGTTGCTCTGTTACAACAAGTTTGGATTTGCTATGGAAACAAATTGACAAGCCTACAGTTGGAGGCCTTGTGTGGCCCTTTTATTGCAACTGGACCTTGCAGAATGTCCCACTGTGCTGGTGTTCAGGACCAGAGGGACTCCCATCACGAGGGGTTACTAAGCTGAGGCCAGACTGACATATAGGCAAGACTTGATAACTGTACTGCCATGGCCCTGAGGATGGCCAGCTGGTCTGCAGATCTCTGGGAACAACTGCAGGCCTTTGCCAGTGAAGCAGCCATTCCACATCTCTGACGTATCAGGTCAGTCATGGAAACTCAGTCTCAAGGAAGTTTAAGGTCATGGTTGTACATTGATAGCTCAATGACAGAATGTTTGTCTAGCCTTTAGGAGACCCTAGGTTCCAGCTTAGGTTTTTTTCCTGACCACCAGAAAAAAAAAAAAATTCAGGAAGTTATCTGATTGGCGAACAGCAGGATACGGACAAGTGTCTTTTAGCTACATCCATTACTTCCTTACAGGAGACTTTGCATAAGCTTTGAAATAGAATCAAGAAACTTGTGGAGTAAAAACATATATTTTACCTATTCATACCTGACATATTTTGTTGCAAAATTTTAAGGAGCTGGATATCCTGTAACCCATATGTGTGGTGATTAATGTTTATAGTCTCAGCTACTTGGCTAGTTGAGGCAGGAGGATCACTTGAGCTCAGTAGTTAGAGATGAGCCTAACACAGACACTATCTCAAGAAACAAGGGGCTAGTGCTGTAGCTCCATGGCAGAGCACTAACCTAACACATATGAGATCCTGGGTTCAATTTTCCAGCAATGAGGGAAAAAATTAGCCAGGCATGGTGCCACACACTTGCAATCCCAGCAATTGAGAGGACTGCTGTGAGTTTGAGGCCAGCCTGAACTACATAGGGAGAACCTGTCTCAAAAAATCCAAACAAAAAAAACTAATACATCAAAAAACAAGCCAGAGGGGCTGGAGATTTAGCTCAGCGGCATAAGCGCCTGCCTTACAAGCAGGCAGTCCTGAGTTTGATCCCTGGTACCGATAAAAAGAAAAAGACAAAAAGAAAAAGAAAAAAACAAACCATGCTTGGCAGCACATGCTTATAATGCCAACTACTACTCTAGAGGCTGAGGCAGGAAGATTCCAAGTTCAAGGCCAGCCTGGGCAATTTTTTTTTATTAATTATTTTGAGATGGAGTCTCACTTTGTAGTTCAGACAGATGTGGCCCAGGGTGGCCTTGAACTTGAGATGATTGTCTTGCCTCAGACTCTCAAGTGTTGGCACATTATGTGTGCCATGTCCAGCTAGCTTGGGCAATTCAGTAAGATCTTGTCTTCAACTACAAGTGAAAATGGGCTGAGAATGACAGAGCCTTTACCAAACATGTACAAGGACCAGGGTTCAATCCCCAGTACCAGAAACAAAACAGACAAGCCCACCACAACAGTCAGGCATGGCATTGCCTACCAGTAATCCCAGCACTGGGGAGGCTGAAGCAGAAGGATCACTGTGGGTTCAAGGCTAGCCAGGGCTACAAAGACTTTTTTTTTTGATGCTGAGAATTGAACCCAGGACCTTGTGCTTGCCAGGCAGGTTCTTGTGCCGCTATATCCTTGGTCCTTTTTTTTTTTTTTTTTTTTTTTTTTTGTACCAGGAATTGAACTCAAGACTTTGCACCTGCTAGGCAGGCGCTTGTGCAGCCGAGCCCAAATCCCAAGTCCCTCAACTTGGACTACCAAATGAGACCCTGTCTTCAAAAAAACATCTTCCCAAAAAAGAATCACAGCAAAAACACCTCGAATTTATTTACTTATTTCTGGGCTGTGAATCAAACCCAGGGTTTCACACATAGGGTGGGCAGGTACTCTACATATGACCTATATCCTCAGTCCCAAAATTTTTTTATTGGTACATTTTAGATATACATAATAACATTCATCATAGGTAATTTTTATTTGTACATATTTCACTTCTTTAATTTTTAAGAGACTACAGGTGTTTAGAACTTGGATACAGTGACAAAAAAAAAAAAATAAACCACATAACTACAATAGTTTTATTTGGCCTAGTGGGAAGAAACCTGATCTCAAGTTCTGGATCTATCCCTTCTTAGCATATAACCTATCTAAGGTTACAGTCTTCCCGAATTTGGCAAAATCCTAGTTATTCTTTATGGTACAGCTTAAAGTCACTAACTTGCGAAGACCTCGCAGTCCATCCCCACCTCCACTCCACGGAGCTCCGCGCACTACAGCCTTTTGCCAATAGAATAGAGCTCATCTTTGAGAGCTCATCTTTGAGCTGATTGTCAAGCCCAGCTCTTTGGTTAGGCAGCAGTGAACTGAGGTCTTAAGACCCAAAAAGTGGCCACTTAGTGCCACAATCCCTTGGGCATCTCATGGCTGCGAAGGTCAAAGCAGAGCTAGAATCCCCGACGTCTTCCGCCGCAGACTGCAAGCACATCAGAGTTTAAAGTGGACGCCTGCGTGTGGCGGGACGGTACTCACTCCCGTCATCCCGGGCGCCTAGCACGCTGCCAAGGACCCCGGGTGCCTAGCAAAGACTCGCGAACTAGGATGAAGCACCTAGGCGTGCACAGCTGGCTCCGCAGGGCCGCGGTGGTGAGCACCTGGCCAAGCCGGGTGTGGGACGGAGCGGGGAGCGCTCTGTCCAGCCGAGCGCCAGCTCCTCCCGGACGGGCGGGCACTCACCGACAGTGGGCACACAAAGCCCGCTCGGTGCGCTCGGCGCTCAGCTGCTTGGGCCTGAGTCACCGCACGCCGCCGAGCGGCTCGGGGTTGGGCGCCGGGATGTAGCAGGCGCTGGGCGTCGAGCAGCTGCGCGCATCAAACCGCCGCGGGCGGGGTACGGGGTGGGGAGGAGCGGGCCAGAAGGAAGGAGGGAGGAGTGGGACCCGCGGGGGTGGAGGAAGAGGCCTCGCGCCGAGGAGGGAGCAATTGAATTTCAAACACAAACAACTGCACGAGAGCGTACCCACCGCGCAGAGCGTCGTCGGACCCGGGCCCGCCCCGTCCGAGCGGCGCGCGAGTGTAGAGCCGTGGCCGCGCCAGAGCTCGAGCCGGGGGCCGCCATCGAGGCGGGGGCCGTGCGCGGGCCGGAGCGGAGCGGCGCCGCCACCGCTGCCGCCGCGCGCTCAAACTTAGGCTCACGCTTCCCGGCCCGACGCGGAGCCCGGGGCGCCCGAAGCCCCGCCATGTCGCGATCCAACCGGCAGAAGGAGTACAAATGCGGGGACCTGGTGTTCGCCAAGATGAAGGGCTACCCGCACTGGCCAGCACGGGTAAGAAGCGCGGCCCGCACCCCGTCCCCCACAGGCTGGGGTTGCGTAACGCCTGGGGGCCAGGGCAGACTGGCGGGCGGGCGGGCAGAGGACACCTGGGTCCCGGCTCCCCGCCGTCCTAAGCCCACCCGCCGGTTACATAACCGTGGTGGCGGCGGGGGGCGCACCTGATGGGCGCGTGCGCGGCGCGGACTACGGGGCGCAGATCCCCCCCGGCCGGCTCCGTGCTCGGTTCCGCCCCCAACCCCCACTCTCGCCGCGGCTCCGGGCGCGCGGTGCGGGTTCGGGCTGGCCGCGTGGCTCCTCCCACCGCGCCGCGGGTCCCCCCTTGAGGTCCCAGTTTTCTCCACTGATAGTCACCCCTCAGTTCAGACTTATTTTCCTGGACGAATGGTTACAGAAGACAGGAGTCTAAATAGGGATGGGTGGAGTGCGCTTTTAGAAAACTTTGGTTTGGAGCGTTTGTGCGCTGTTTGAAGTTGGGAGGAAAAAGGAGGAGGTAGGGGTAACGAAAGAAGGGATCTACCTGCTCTGAAAGCTCTGTGCCAGCATTAGTCTCCCTCAGTTTCACAAAAATGTCCTCCCTATACTGCCAGCTCAAAGGTGGAACTGAGGACCGCAGGGCTTCTCGTGGGGGTGGGAACTAGCTCTAGGTCACTTTAGTGTGGGTGAAGAGCCCGAGTTGAGCCCTCCCCCCATCTTTCACCAGAACCGTTTCGGTTCACCGTGTGGTGAGCCGAGCCCGCCAACAGAAGGGCCTTTAGCACCTGGCCAGGTGGGAAGGTGGGGCTCAAGGAGCTGAGCTGGGTGTTTATCAGCTTTCCCCAAAGACTAAATAGGTTAGGGAAGGGTGGCGGTGCTCTTGCTGGAGTAGACTAGAGGTCTCAGGGGGCAGTGCCTCTGGCAGTTTGCTCTAAAGTTGGTGTAGAGGGGCCTTTGCTGTTAGGAGAGGCATGACTCAGCCCACTGGAGTGTAGGAACCCTGTAGCTGGAAAGCAAAGGGTAGGAAGGGGTGGAGGGAGGGGCAGGCGCAGAAGGCTGCCTCGTGGTTTTGGGTTGCAGAGCAAGGCTACTGTTCATCGGGCCTAGCCTAGGAAAGCCTAAGAAATTGACCTGACCCACCTGGGTCCTATGCAGGACATCGGGCCTGTTTAGCCCCTGTAAGAAAACTCTAGAAGACTCTTCTGGACTAATTCTCTCTCAGGGGAGTGAGTGGTGTGTTCCTGATCGCACATGCCTTGAGTTCCTCTGGCCCTGAAACTTTCATATGGATTAAGTAAGAAGTGTAGGGAACAGGGCTCCCATATCTAGGACCTCCTTAGGGGTTGGGGAAGCAACATTACATGTGTGCATGTATGTGTGGTGTGTGAACAGTCCTGTACTTTACCCTGTACCCTTTGGTTCAACTGGTGTCTTGGCCCCTACGCTAAGGCCCTGGTGGGCAGGGCAAGAGCTGAACTCAGATCTCTACTGCTTCTCCCTCCTGGGGTGAGACAAAGTCCAGAGGCTGGGCTGAGCCATGGGGAGGAGGTGTTGGTGGGAATGTGGGTTGCAGAGAAACACGTCTGTATCTGGAGGAAGGAAAAGGGATAGAGACACACAGGAGCACCCACAACGATCTCTGTCAGGGAGCCCTTGGTGTTTCTGATGACTTGTTAAGTGAGAACAGTGCCTGGCACTGGGGATGCCATCTGTTTCTTCTCTTCACCCTGTGCCTCCAAGACAGGAGGAAGGCAAAGTCTCTTCAGTTGAGGCCTGGAGCTTTTAGATAAAATAAAGAGTTGGGGTGGGGAGGTCAGGCTTGGATTTCAACAAGATAAGGCCCTGCACTTTTCCTTGACTGAGATGGTTGGCAAGAGGGGTGGACTCAAAGCTGTTACTTCCCAGACACCTCCTCCTGGGATACCCCTCCCCCCCAGAGAACAAAGCTGAGTCTCCTCACCATTCTCTGGGCTTGTCTGACTCTGAGTGCCAGAGCCTGAGAGGCTCAGCCCCTCCTGACACGGGTGAGGAGTAGGGCAACACCTCTGGGCAGGATGAATTCGCAGTCATAATGAAGACCCCCTTGTAGACCTTACCTCCCTTGGTCCCTGCTGCTGAGGGGTATAGGTGATTCTGGAAGGACCCTGAATGCTAAAGGGCTACGTGGTAAGAGGACCTGGCTGGAAGGAGTGTGACTCCATCTTAACCTTTCTTTTCCTTGTCCTTTTGCCCAACTTCCTGGGGAATCTCCAAGCACTTAACAGTTAAACTCCAGGACTCAAGGATTTTCCCTCCAGGTTTCTTCCTCCTCTCACTCTTTCCTGTTTCACAATCCCAGAAAAGCTTCTAAGCAGCCCAAGGCCTTTTCCACCCTGTCTTTCCTCCATTTCCTCCCCCTTCTCTTCTCTCTCCCTTAGGGTTGCCACACTTCCTGGCCCCCAACAGCCTAACTGCCTGCTGCCCTGGATTTTCCGGTTCCTGGGTCAGGTCGGCCCAGCCCTGGGTGTGGTGGTCAGAATCTGATGGCCCACAACATGTGCTCAGTATTCTCTCTGCCTTCCCAAGTGCTGGGGAAGTGACCCTGGTCTTCTAGTGGTCTAAGGCCAAGAGAGCAGTGTTTAATCCCTCTCGCCCCTCTGCACAACTCAGAATGTGCAAGATGGGGTGTCATTCAAACGCAGGGGAAGATGTGCAGGCAGATGGGCCTGGGCCTGAGAAGGAACCTGCCTGGATCCCTGCAAGGGCTCAGAGGTTACAGAGCCTTCTCTCCTTTTAGCTGGTAGAGGGGCTATGGCAGGGCCCTGCCATGACCCACTTAACATTGACTCCCTGGTTCTAAGTCACAGCCTGGATATGAAGGCATCAACTGAGAGGCAGATATCTATTGGGGTACAGTGCTCCCCTGAGGACTTATATTCTCCCTGCCTAGGAAAAATTACTCTTTACTTCCAAAGTATCAGAAAAAGCATTTCCTTTAATCTCATACAGAGGGCATCACTTTCCCTAATACCTCTATCTAGTGTTGGGGGTTGACATACCTAAGGGCCTTAGATAATAAACCTTGTGAGCTGTCCCCAAGCCCTCTTCCTCTTTTTGAGTGGTTGGAATTCCGTTAAGAAAAAGAGGATCATGCTAGGTGACACATGCTTATAATTCCACCACAGGAGGAGATCCTCCTGATTCCAAGTTGGAGCCCAGTCTGGGCAACTTAGTGAGACTCTGTCTCAGAATAAATTTAAAAGTTGGACATGGTGATGAATGCCTGTGATTCCAGCACTTGAGGCTGAGGCAGGAGTATCACCTTGAGTCTGAGACCAGCCTGGACTACATAGTAAGTTCAAGGTCAGCATGAACTACATAGTGAGACCTTAAACAAAACTTAGTTCAGTAGGAATCTCCTTCCCCCTTCCCCCATGGGTGGGTGGGAAGGTAGAAGGACCCTTTACTCTTGCACTGTCCTCTGCGCCTTATATCTGGGACCATCTTTTCTGAATCCTGAAGTCAGCAAAGGTGGGTGTATCTGGTGCATTTTTTTCTATTTTTAATTCTTTTTTTTTTTTTTTTTTTTTTTGTACCAGGGATCAAACTTAGGACCTTGTGCTTGTTGGGCAGGTGTTTATGCTGCTGAGCTAACTCCCTGGCTCTATCCTTCTTTTATTTCTCCCTGCTTCACCATTCAGGCTCAGTTGTGTCTTTTAAGTTCACATAGGAACTTAAAAGGAAGCTGGGCAGCCAGGTGCTTTGCCATCTGCCTTTCTGGAGAAAACCTATCTCATTTCTGACCTTTCCCCCACCCCATTCCCTTCCTGAGCCTCAGTTTCTCTTTCATCTTACATTTACTTGGATCTTGTTAATGCTCTGGCCCAGGTGTAGGCATGGAGAATGCCAAGATCAAAGTTGATCAAAGTTCCTTACTGCACTCTCAGCCAGCCATAAGCCCTTTTGCCCCCACCCCTGCTGGGTTCTGCCAGAGCAGATCCAGGAGGCCGAGGGAATAATAGCCTAGTCTTATTATTGCCCTATCCCAGTCTCCTGGGATTGCTAAGCCCTGGAGGCCCTCATTTTGTTTTTGCTTACTCCTCTGAGAGGAAGGCTGGGAGCTAGCTGATGACAGGTACCAGGTGTCCTATCCAGTCTCTAGCCCTTCTTCCCCAAGGACTGGCCTTCTGAGAGCACATCCCATCAACCAATCCGCCAGCCTGTCAGTCCTAGCTGTGGTTTCCAGCACTTCTGGGGACTCAGGTGCTAGACTCTAGGCTTGGGGGTTGGGGTGTTAGTGTTCTTTCCTCTCCAATCCACGTATAAGGCCTAGGGGGAGGGGCGGTCACATTCCTAGTTGCTGAGTGGCCCTGGAGGCGGGGTTGGGTTGTCATGGCAATAGGATCTTGTTTGTGGGGGGGGGCTGCATGCCTCTTCACCCTCTGTTCTCCAGTAAGCTCGCGATAGTGAGGAGGGCCCAGTTTGTGCTGGATCTTCCTGGGGGGAGGGGCTGGACCTCTGTCCCTGGAGGCCATGGGGGTAAGGGGGAGGTCCCTAAAGCCTGGAGACTCCCAAATCTGGGAAGAGATGCCCCTGGAATTCATGCCTGGGCCTCACCCCACTCCTGGGTGTGTCTGGGCTCATTCCCATCCACTCAGTCTTTCTTTTCTCCCCAGGCCTCCAGTTGGGTCGTCTGTCCCTGTTTCTTTCCTTGAAATCACTGCCCTTGCCTGTCTGTCTACTGTCTGTGTCTTGGGCCCCAGTCAACATGGCCACCTGGCCTCTGTGGGCTGGAAGACAAGCTGCCGGGGCTGCTGCAAGTGTTGCTGGGAGTTGTAGTTCCACCCCCAGTGCAGCCTGCCCTCAGCTTCCAGGCCCTGATAGGGAGAGGCTGGCTAGGCCACTGTTTCTCCATTTTCCTGACCTCAGACCTCTGTACCTCCCACCATTTCTACTTCAGCCTTGGTCTTGGGCCAGGATTTGGGGCAAGGGACCAGGTCAGGAGATCTAGCCTGAGACTTGGCCCTTGTTAACTTATCTTCACTTTTTTTAGTCTCAGTTTCCTCATCTGTAAAACCAGAGGGTTTTCAAAGTGTTCTTCAGAAGCTGTGGGGGCTGCTGTTAGAACTGGTGTTAAATAGGGCAGCCCTTTGACTTCACTCCTGCACTTAAGCCAGATTAGTCTGCTCCGTTTCATAGGTTCATTCTGCAAATACTTATTGTGTACCTGTAGTGCACTAGGGACAAAGACAGACATGGTCTCCAATTTTGGGGATCAGTATGTGCCAGGTAGTCCACATAGACATCCACCAAGTAATGAGTCAGTGTCAAATTGGACCTGTGAAGGAAAGGTGCCCAGGGAGAAGTTTTCTCCATGGGGCTGGCCAGGCCAGGAGCCGGAGAGGCGTTCTGGAGAAGTAAGGGTAGAGTGGAAGCTGTGAGGCTGGTCAGGATTTCTAGCAACTGAGAAATGAAAGCAGGGAGGCTAGCATGGAGAACATCGTGGGACAACTTGGTGATCACAAATACTTGTGAAGTGTGCTCCATGCTGTTATGTAGAGGCCACCTGTTCTTTACAGATAAAGAAACAGAAGCAAAGGTTTGGTAAACTGTATGGTTAGCAACTGAGGGTGGCAGAGGAGATTCAGACTCTGCTGTTGTGGGGAAGAGATAGGACAGGTGCTCATGAGTTGAAAGGGAATGAAATGTGTGGAGCAGTATTTGGAAATTGCAGTGGGACAGGAGAAAAAAAAGAGTTTGGAGCTGTGGTTTTATTTTAGGCATTGCTGAGTCAGGAGGATTGTGATTTGAGGGCCAGCCTGGCTGTATAACAAGCCCCTGTTTCAAAACAAACAAACAAAAAAAAGTGCCTGGTGCCTGGACATCCTGGGAAAGGTGCTTATCTGGCTGTGAAAGCAAGGGATGAGACTTTGGGTTTCATGTCTGACTTAATTTGAACGAAGTTCACTACTAAAAATGGTTCAAAAGCCAGTCTTGTGGGCACTAGGGACCCACTGTCTGTCTTTGAGGTCTGTGCTCTTGCTTCCCGAAGCCCTTAGAACTCTAGCTCATGCCCAATTCCCTTATTTCACCCCAGATTGATGAAATGCCAGAGGCTGCTGTGAAATCCACAGCCAACAAGTATCAAGTCTTTTTCTTCGGGACCCACGAGACGTGAGTGAGGGGCAGTGAGGTGCCGGCTGGGAGGGCCCTGGGAAGACTGCTCTGGGGAGTGAGGTGGTAATGGTGACCCCTCTGTATCGGGCTGTGCAGCCTAGGGGCAGCAAGGGGCTCGAGAGCACAGTCTCCCATCTCTTACCAGGGCATTCCTGGGCCCCAAAGACCTCTTCCCTTACGAGGAGTCCAAGGAGAAATTTGGCAAGCCTAACAAGAGGAAAGGGTTCAGCGAGGGGCTATGGGAGATCGAGAACAACCCAACTGTCAAGGCTTCTGGTTACCAGGTGAGCTGCCATCTGCCCCAGAGCCCCTAGACAGCAGGTGTGGCCATGGGCTCCGGGAGCCTTTGGCACAACAGGGCTTTTGGGGTGTGGGGTGGGGCCTTCTACAAAAGGGGTTGGGTATTCCCATGTTATATAGTTGTGGTTAGGGGCCATTATTAGGTGGTAGTGGTATGATGGGCCTTTTGGGCCCAATGTGAGTGCAGGACATGGCCTTCCTCCTCCCATGAAGGCTTCCAGGAGGAGGTGCTCCTGAGCCGGGCAGGATGAGGCGGGAGGGTGGGGGGGCGGGGTTGGCGGGGGAAAGGGTCCCAGCTCCCTCTGGGAGAAGTTGACCCGAGGTTTTGCCTCCTGCTCCAGCCCTCCCCCCTCCTGCACAGAGCCCTGCCTGCCCGGCCAGTGGGTTTACCCGGGGGCTAATCCGACAGAGGTGGGTCTCAAATCACTTGTGAGACTGGGCACCAGGGTGGGGGTGGGGGCGAGGTGGGATAAAGAAAAGTGAGTGAGGGGGGTTTGGGGAGAGGGGGCCCAGCATGGCAGCTGCTGGTGCCACTCAGCCTCTGCCATCTCTGCCACAGACCTCCCAGAAAAAGAGCTGCTCAGAAGAGCCAGAGCCAGAACCTGAAGCCACAGAGGGTGACGGTGACAAGAAAGGGAATGCAGAAGGTAGCAGCGATGAGGAGGGGAAACTGGTCATCGATGAGCCAGCCAAGGAGAAGAACGAGAAGGGGGCCCTGAAGAGGAGAGCAGGAGACCTGCTGGAGGTAAGGACTTCCAGAAACCTTGATAGGGTACCCTATAGCAGCAGGGCTCTCCCTCAGGAAGCCCTCAGGCTGAGAAAGATGCCTAATCTTGGAGAGCTGAAGAGATGGGGTATAGAAAACATTTTGTAGTTAAGAGGCTGCAGACTGGTCTTCTTGGTGGTGCACATCAGTAATCCCAGCACTTGGAAGGCTAGGACAGGAGGATCTCTTGTGAATTAAAGGATATTTTGACCTATAGTGAGACTCTTAAAAAAAAAAAAAAAAAAAAAGGGCGGGGGTGGGGGGAACAGGCTGCAAAAGAAGTGACTAGCTGTCAATCCAGAAAAAAGAAGCTTCCTGGTACCTATGTTCTGAAGCCTCAGCCTATCTCATCTTTGCCACTCCTGCCTAGGACTCCTCCCCTAAACGTCCCAAGGAGGCAGAAGACCCAGAAGAGGAAGAGAAGGAGGCAACCACCTTGGAGGGTGAAAGGCCCGTCCCCACAGAGGGTGAGAAGAACAACACCCCCTCTGAGCCCAGCTCTGGCCAGGACCCTCTTCCTGAAGAAGAGGAGGAGGAGGAAGAAGCTGCCAAGGAGGATGCTGAGGCCCCAGGCATCAGAGATCATGAAAGGTAAGTGTGTCTTCTTGGCAGCAGCCACCTGCAAAGAGAAGGCCTGCTATGAGCACCCTCTCAGGAGGTGGGGGGCTTTCTAGGAGGCTAACCTGATCCATGCAAGTAACCCTTCTCCCCTCCACCATCCCACAGCCTGTAGCCAACAATGTTTCAAGAGGAGCCCCTCCCCGTTCCTGTTGCTGTCTGGGTGCTACTGGGGAAACTGGCCATGGCCTGCAAACTGGGAACCCTTTTTTCCACACAACCTGCTCTCCACTCATTTCTCCCAGTGTAAGCCCAGTCCCTGGAGATTGATCTGGCGTTCCACTTTTGGGTCCCCCCGACCTATGACCTGAGTTAGGGCCATGTCCTCAGCTCCATGGGATGAGACAAGGCTGTTGTGTCCCATGCTGCTTGAAGGGCTTCTGTGTGGGTCTGGGCTGGCTGTTCCTGACGCCCTCCTCCATAGGGATTCTGGTGGTGTTGGGTAGGAGCAGAAGTCATGGAGTATAAACAGGGTGGGCTTTGAGCTGGGGCTTTGGGGGAGCAAGAGGGCAGGCAGCATCCCATGCTGCTTTCCCCTACTGCCACACCTCTTCTCAGCTGCCTAGATTCAAGGAAAGTGGGACAGCCTGTGGGGGAGGGCTCCTTTTCGTAAATCCTGGATGATTGACAATACCTGTTCTTTTGCTGATGCTCTAGGGGTTCTGTGAGTTGTAGTTTATCATCAAGAGATTTGGGGGCTTCCAAGTTTGGGCCAAGGGCCTGAGATCTGAAGGGCTGGCTTTACCCATGTGGGTAAGGAGTGTTGAGCATCTGCCCCCTTTAGATCTCGGGCCGGAGATGGGATTCCCTGGGGAAAGTCCTACCTGCCCTCTCCCCTTTTCCCACAGTACTCAAGGCCAGCCTAGTTACATGTACCACCCAGACATAAAGGAAAAAACACATTTTTTAGGAAATGTTTTTAATAAAATAAAATTACAAAAAAAATTTTAAAGGCCCCTAACCCTTTGTGTGCTCCCTGTTCTGCTCCTTCCCCATGTTGCTCCCATTTCTGAGGTGCACTGGGAGCTCCCCTTCTGTGTGGGGCTTGATGACTTTTTGTAGCTGGGGCTTTGGTGTTTCTTCTGGTGTCATTTCCTATCCACATATCCCTACCTGATCCCTTGGTGTTTTCACTAGATCTGGTTTGTAACTTACTGAGAGGACAGAGAGAGTGAGTGCCCTCTTCCAGCCTCTTCCTAGTGGTTTCTCACTGCTCCATCTCTTGTCTCTTATACCTGCCTCTCTACTTTGGGCTCTGATGAAAAATTGCTGACTGTAGCTTTGAGAGTTTAGCTCTGAGAACCATAGATGAATTCAGTTCTAGGAAAATAAAACCTGTTGATTACTATATTGGATTCTGACTGGTTTCTTTGGGGGCCACTGGTTAATGGGAGAAGGGAATACAAATGATTTCCTAATCACCTTCTCAGATTGAGGTTGGAAGTGTCAGTCTGCTCACCCCCACCTCACCCCAGGTCTGGAAGGGGTTTTAAAAAATGCTGTATGTGGTGGTGTACACCTGAAATTCTAGCGCTGAGAGGCTGAGGCAGGAAGATCACAAAAGTTTGAGCCTAGCTCTGGCAACCTAGCAGTTTAGGGTTAAGAAAGAAAAATACAGGTCAGGGTGCAGTGTCTGAGAATGTAATGGAGTGCAAAGGCCCAGAATTTAATCCTCGGTACTACCAGAAAAAAAATGGGGTTGGGAAGAATGTGCCAGTATTCGCTAAAAGGGGGTGGGGGCTGGGGATTTAGCTCAGCGCCATAAGTGCCTGCCTTGCAAGCATGCAGTCATAAGTTAGATCCCTGGTACCGATAAAAAAAAAAGAATGCCAGTATCTGCCCCAGCCTAGCTCCTCATGAAGTGGGCATTTGGGAAGACTATAGAAACAGCTTTGACACCCAGAGCTCCCAAGGAAGTCCAGAGATGAGAGCATAACCCTCTCCTGCTAACACTGCTGTTGGCAGACCCAGATCCAGCTGCGGGCTGCACAGAAGGCCAGTTAAGTCAAGGGACAGTATGTTGAGGCAAGGAAACTTCAAAAAGCTGACAAAGATGAAAAACTTCTAAAAAGTCTGTCTTAGTGAAAGATTGATTTAGGGATGATTTATTTATGAGAGTGATTACAGGCCAGTGAATCCCTTCCTACTGGTGAGGGTCTGTAGTCAACTGACAATCTCATTTTAATCACCTAGTAAGGAGATGCTTTCTAGGTCTGCCTATCTAAAGAGCAATGAGATTATTATTTTCTTAGGCTATTGCCACAGATTAGCCCATTGCAGTTCCTGACGTTACACAAGGTACAGGCCAAAATGGGTAATGGCCCTAGGTCCCTTAAGTTGGTTACCAGCCTTGTAGTGTAAGAATATGTGCTTCGTGGGGCATGGTGATGCACGCCTGCAATCCTAGCATTCCAGAGGTACAGGCCGGAGGACTGTTATAAGTTTGACAGCCTCCATTGCATAGTGAGCTAAAGGTCAGACTGAACTATATAGTGAAAGCCTGTCTCAAAAAACAAACAGAGCTGGGGATACAGCTCAGCAGCACAGCACCTACCTGGAAAGCACAAGGTTCCAAGTACAATTTCCAGTACCAAAACAACAAAAATACGTGGTTCACTATTGTGGCACACAGGGTCAGGTGAGGTTAAACAGGGTGCAGGAGATCTGGTCTCAGTGCTCCGCTCCACTAGCATTATAGCAGTCCCCGTACTGGCCGTGGTGCTGGGGATGTTGATAGGGTGGGATCCTCCAGTATTCCCCAAGTTACTTGGAACACAGGAGTCGATCACCTCTCAGATTTCTTCCAGATCTGACATTTTGTGACTAGACTATTCGCAATGGAAGGGTCCATCTCTCATCCTTTCCTTCAAAATGCCTATGGTGGTTTTTAAATCTGCCCTGGCCCTGTCCAGCAGAGAAAGGACAAGGCTGAAACGTCTGCAATCTAGCCTAGAAACAGTTTCTTTCCAGGAAACAGGAAGTCATAACCACCTAGAAAATGGAGCCACCCCCTCTAGGGACAACAATTCCCAACGGCCTCCGCGCAGAGCGTGCGCAGAATGTGACAGGCGCGTCAGCCTATCCAGCTTCGCCTTCGATTCCCGACATGTCTCCCGCCGTTCTTGCGCTGTCTTGATCACCTATTGCCTGCCAAACTTCCTGTTTCTACCAACTCCCAGCATGCTGAGGAGCCAGATTGGTGACTAAATTTCCGCTCTACAATTGGACTACATTTCCCAGAAGCTCAGTGGGCGGATTGAGGCCCCACGTGCGAGTTGATAGGCGGAGGCCGCGCCGAGCAGCAGAAGAGCAGAGGGTCGCTCCACTTAGAGGTACTATGGCTCTGTGGTTTGTCTGCGAGCGGGCGCGGGAAGTGCCTTTTTTTTTGGCTGTGGCTCAGTCGCCTCCGTTGGGTTTCTTTGCACCAGAAAGTTGGAGCGGGTGGGTGAAGAAAGCTGAGATCTGGTAATGGCTGGGAGCTGAGTGCGCACCTTGGAGGAGGCTGGCGGGCGAAGCCTTTGGAGCTGTGACATAAGGGACAGGCGTTCCACACCACCAGTTGATGGCGCCTCCAGAGCAAACAGAAAAGCCCGCTGCGGAAGGAATGCCAGCCTCTGCAGATTGCGGAAGTAGAAGAAAAAGGTGTAAAGGGGTGTAAGGCTGCCCTGGCTTGGGCTGGCCCCATGGTGTCGCCTTCGTGAGCCACATATCTAGAATGAATGGAGTTAAGGGTCTTCTTTACAGCAGGTGGCTCCTAAAGTGGGGCCTAAAGACTGGCCCCATTCCTATCAAGTGCTATTACCCAAAGCAAATCATATCAACCTTCAGGGCCTTAGTTTTCTTGTCTGTAAAAAGAAGTTCAATGATAGTTGGACCTAACCATCTGTCTTCCTGAGCAATGTGAAGATCAAATGCCGCTAATGGTGAAATTCCCGCCATTAGGTTTGTCACAGTAGTGCCTGGCACTCATTTGTTGAATCTAAATGGGGTATTTAGGGAAACTGTTCCTGTCCTGCAGAACAAGTACTTTAGTTTCTTGTTTCCTCCCCCCTAAATAGGACTGTCAGAATATTTTATCCAAGAGATGATACTATTCATTTTATTGTGTGTGCACTGTTAAAATATTTTAAATGATTTAAATGACTCCAGCAATGCTGTAGAGTTATGGGTGGTGAAAATGAAGCTCAGACGTTAATTGTAAGACAATGTCAGCATAGAGACTAGACCAGATGACAGTAGGGAGTCAGATGACTTACCAGCCCCGGACTCTTGATGCCACTAAAGTGCACTTAGCTCATCTTTTGAAGTCAAGTTCATACTTATTTATAAAACAAGGTTAGTGTTGGGGCTGGGGATTTAGCTCAGCGGCATAAGCGCCTGCCTTGCAAGCAGGCAATCATGAGTTCGATCCCCGGTACTGATAAAAAAGAAAAAGACCAAAAAAAAAAAAAAAAAAAAAGAAACGAGATTAATGATAACTTCATCATTTGTCCGTAGGCTTAAATGAAATGATCTTATTTAAAGGGTCTCATCACATGTCTCAGGTTGGTTTTGAACTATGTAGCCCAGGCCTGTCTTGAACTTGCAAGTGATCTTCCTCTGTCAGTCTCCAGAGTGCTAGGATTAGCCTTGCACCACCACATCTGGCCAAAAAGACATTTAGATGGCACTTAACAAGTAGTAAGTTCTCAGTAAGCTGAAGCCAATTTTATCTTTGCTAGTTCTTTTACTATCCTGTTAATTTAGTCCATTGTCCAAAATTGGGAGGTGTCAGGCATGGTGGCCCAAGCCTGTAATCCCAGCACTCCCAGAGGCTGAGACAGGAGGATCACTGTTGAGTTCAAGGCCAGCCTGGGCTACATAAAAATAGCCTGTCTCAAAAAAATAAGTAAAATAAAAATTTTTTAAAAATCAAGAGGCTTACAGCATATATTTAATTGGAAAATTCAGGACATAATAACCTTAGAGTCTAGTCTAGGTCCTTTTCCTTTAGAAAAGCAGCATAAGGAGTAGCTGTTATTTCCTGTGATGTGGTCACTTTAACTCCAGTTTTCAGTCTCTGCTACCTCTGTTCATCTTGCCTTATTTGCCTGCCTTTTGGCTCCATCCCAGTATTTTTGTTCCATTGCCTGTTTTCTTGCTATCCTGCTATATCCACATTTAATAATTCTCTCAAGTACCTACTGTGTGACAAATTCTTCTGGGGTCTGATGGAGTCAGAATTGAAAAGAGAGATACCATGGCCCATAAACTTAATGTTTTGGATTTTAAAGTCAGATATGTATGGATTTAAATGCCGATTTCTACCACATAGCATTGTGATCATGGGCATGACTTATTCTGCTTCCTCATGTATAAAGTGAAAATAATACAGTCCTATGAGGTTCAAAGAACTGAGGCCCACTGAGACACAGAATAAGTGCTTTAACCCCTTAATGGTCTCCCTCAAGTGTCAGTCAGGTAGCATGTACTTGACTGTCCTAAGCATCTTGCTTGGGCAACTGTAATTTCAACTAGTCCATTCTTGCATTGAATAAATTTGATAAAATTATCATTTTAATATTTGTTATAAAAAGTTTTTAAAATATGAAACTTTTGGTCATTGTGTATTTAAGTAACTGTTAAGTGGTTTAAAATGTTCTTGCCAAGTATAGTGGCAAACCCCTGGAATCCCAGCTGTCCAGGCAAGCTAGGTAATCACAAGTTGAAGGCCAACCTGAGCAGCTTGGTGAGATCCTGTCTCAGACATAAAAAGGGCAAGGATGTAGCTCACTGCAAGGCTATGAATTTGATTCCCAGTAACATGAAAAAAAAAAAAAAAGTTCCTTCTCTTGTTTAGTGTCCTTGCTTCTCTCTCCCAGAGCTGACAAGTAAAGCTTCTGAGTCTCACCGTTGAGGTTTCCCACAGCCTCCAGCTATGCGTCTTTCTGCCTTGCTGGCCTTGGCATCCAAGGTCACGCTGCCTCCCCACTACCGCTATGGCATGAGCCGCCCAGGCTCCTTGGGAGATAAGAGGAAGAACCGCCCAGGGATCCGGCGGCGCCCAGTAGTTGTGGAACCCATCTCTGATGAAGACTGGCACCTGTTCTGTGGGGACATAGTAAGCGCTTCTTCCAGAGGATGGATGGGAAGGCTTTCCCAGGCAAGGATCCATTTCTCTGATCCCTGTGTCTTCTCACAGGTGGAGATCCTAGAAGGCAAGGATGCTGGGAAGCAGGGAAAAGTGGTTCAAGTCATCCGGCAACGAAATTGGGTGGTCCTGGAGGGCCTGAACACAGTAAGTGAAGAACGCAAGAGGACACCCAAGGAGGCTGTCCAGTCTGTCCTTATAAGAGCAGCATAAGGCAGCATGAACCTGGCTTACAGGGTGGTTGTATGAGTGAGTGTCCTATTTTTCAGCTTTGACTGAGCAGCAAAGGGCAAGCCCTTCATACATCTTGCTTTCTGATAACTCCTTCTCTTGGACAGCATTACCGCTACATTGGCAAGACCAAGGATTCTCCGGGAACCATGATTCCTAGTGAAGCCCCCTTGCTTCACAACCAGGTCAAACTTGTGGATCCAATGGACAGGCAAGCACCTGGGGCTGTGGTCGGGAGGCATCTCACCCCAGGTCCATGAAGGTTTGACCATAGATAGATGGGCAACCCACTTAGTCACTAGAATGGTGAGTTGGATGCTCTAGAAATTGAGTGGTCCATCTCCTGGACATGACTCCTTATGAGTACCCCTAATACAAATGTAAAGAAATGAGGTGGGAGGTAACTGTAGTGCTTTTAACCACTACTCTGTTTGTGGCATGCAGTGTGATAGAGGTTCTAGATCTAAATCAGGCTTTTTTTATCTCCCAGGAAACCCACCGAGATTGAGTGGAGATTTACTGAGGCAGGAGAGCGAGTTCGAGTCTCAACAAGGTCAGGAAGAATTATCCCCAAACCTGAATTTCCTAGAGCTGATGGCATTATCCCTGAAACGTGGATTGGTGAGGCTGGGTGAGGGGCAGAAAGAGGGTAGGGGTGGCATGAGGAGGAGAAAACGAGGTTAAGTTGGCAGACCCTTCCAGGCATCTCTCTTCCACCTCAACAGATGGCCCCAAAGACACATCTGTGGAAGATGCCCTAGAAAGAACGTATGTGCCTCGTCTAAAGACACTGGAGGAAGAGGTGATGGAGGCAATGGGGATCCAGGAAACCAGGAAACCCAAGAAAGTCTACTGGTATTGAGCCTGAAACAGCAGCTTCTTCCTTGTCTTAGCTGTGAAGGCAGAGGGGCCTGTTCCTCAGACACTAATAAAGTGCCATGAGCCATCTTGTGTGTTGCTGTGGTCTGCTAGTGTTGTAGCCAGCGTGCCACCTTCAGGGCCTGAGGGAAGAGCTAGTTTCCTAATAGTACAGCTTAAATGGAAGGTGGCCTTCCTGGGGATGGGATGGAAACAAACCAAAAAGACAGCTGCTCCCTCCAGGGAGACCTCTGAGCAAAAGAAGGTATCATGCAGGCTACCTGCTAGGGAGGGCATCAAGCAGTGTCATGTGACAGCCACACTTCTGCAGGGCAGATATGCATCTGTCCTTTCTAGTTTTTTTTTTTTTTTTTTTTGGTAACGGATGAAACTCAAGACCTTGCATTTGCCTAGCAGGCATTTGTGCTTCTGAGCTAAATACTTGGCTTTTTTCAGTACTTCTTGGAAACAGGAAGTCAAGTCTTCTGGGTTTTAATAAATTGAAAACTTCACACAGTATTAGATAACATACAGCAGCCAGCAGGAGAAAATATTAACTCAAAGGATCTAAGAAAGACTGCAGGATGCTGCTTTCTTGGGGAGGAGGTGCACACTGCCCCTCTGGCACCTAGTGGTTTCAGATGGGGTCTTTGATGTCCTCTTTCTTGAGCTGTATCAGCCATCTTCAGTCTCCAGAGTAGAGAAGGCCTGACCCAAGGGCATCTTGGTGGCCACCAGAACCAGATTTCTAGGGGACAATTCAGGGCTGAAGATGGGCAAGAGCTCAGCGTGGAAGCCTGGAAGAAAGGTAGGGCTAATCAGAAAGGGGACACATAGGCCAGACTCTTCACTTAGCACTTCCTGCCAGCTGGCAGGCACAGCCACTTTCTCCAGTAGGCAGTCTCTGGAGAAGCTGGTGTCTGAGGAACTGACTACAGGCTTTTCATACCCTTCAAGTTCTACATGCCTGGAACACTTGCTTAACTGCATTTCTTAAATCCCCCAGTCCACGAGGTAGTGATTGGGTCTGGTGGATGTAAGGCTGGGGTTGAAGGAGGAACTCTTAAAACTTCAGCTCCTGCCCCTTACCTTGCTCCTGAAGGTAGAGCAGCCGGTCTAGCAGAATCAGTGTCTCCACCAATGGTGCAAGCAGGAGGGCCAGACTGAAGAAGGCCACCACCCGGTTCTCCTGGGCCTGGTAAGCCTGAAGGGCAGCCAGGTTCAGTGGCAGCTGGGGGTCCAGTCCCACTCGCTGTAGCCCCTGCTGCACATATCTGTAGGGTCACCCAGATGGCACTTAGTTTAGGAACCTCTACCTCCCACTTTGCCTGTTCCTCCTTTGACTCCAACTTTATTTGATTTGCTACCCCAACATACAATTTTTTTTCTTGTTGTGCTGGAATTATAGGTATGTGGCACCACAACCAGCTAAATTGTACTTTGGGGGACGGGGGGTACCATTAATCAAATTCATGACTTCATGCTTGTCAGGCAAGTGCTGTGCCACTGAGCTATATCCCCAGCTAAACTACTTTTTAAAGAGTCAGGGTCTCGGGGCTGGAGATTTAGCTCAGAGGCTTAAGCACCTGCCTTGCAAGCAGGCAGTCATGAGTTCGATCCCCGGTACCAGAAAAAAGGAAAAAAAAAAAAGAGTCAGGATCATCACGGTATGATGGGTATAGCTACCTGGGGGGCTAAGGCAGGAAGATCACAAATTTTAATGCCAACCTGGGCAATGTGGTAAGACCTTGTCTCAAAAAAATAAAAGGGCTATGGATTTACTTCAGGATAAGATTCTGGGTTCAATCTCACTAGCAAAACAAATGAAAACAAAAACAACCCCCAAACAGGTGAAACTGGTAATATTGCCCATGGTGGCCCCAAATTCCTGGGCTCAACATCCCCTTGCCTCAGCTCTAAAATAGCTGGGACTATGGGCATGCACCCCAGTGCCTAGCCTAATATACATTAAAGGTTTCCCTGGCTATAAACTGTCTAATGGAAATTGATCAAAAAATTTATTTTCAGTTAAGCTCTTCCCAGTTATTTTGCCACATTTTTAACATTTAAAAACTACATTCAGAGCTGGATATAGTAGTGCACACCAATAATCCCAGCATTTAGGAGGCTGAGGAAGGAAGATTATTTCAAGTTCGAGACCAGCCTGGGCTACAAAGTGAGCACAAGGCCAGCCTGAACTGCACAGAAAAATCTTGTTTCAAAAAGACCAAAAAACCCACAACAAAACAAAAGCTTTACATTTGGCTTGGGGTGTACCTTAGCAGCAGGGTGCTTGCCTAGCATGCATGGAATCCTGGGTCTGAATCCCAACACTGCAGATAAAACAGTCATGTATGGGGTTGGGGATTTAGCTCAGTGGCATAAGCACCTGCCTAGCAAGTGTGTGGTTGTGAGTTCGATCCCCAGTACCGATAAAAAAAGAAAAAGACAAATAAATAAATAAACCACGTATCTTTCATCATCTCCTGATATGGTAAGGAGGATTTTTTTGTTGTTGCAGTACTGAGGATTGAATCTGGAGTTTCAAACTAAGCTAACTTCCCAGTCCTTTTTCAGACAGGATCTCACTAAGTTGTCCAGGCTAGCTTTGATTCTTCCTGCCTCATCCTTCCATGTGGCTGGGATCATAGGTGTGTGGCACTACACCTGGCTAAGGACAACTTTCAAACACATTGGAACATGCTGCCCCAGTCAGAGAATCCACTCCTCTAGGCACAGATTTTCTTTGGACATGCTAAGGATAAGTGGGTAGGGAGTTAGGTTGCCAATTGGTGACCCCCCTCAACCTCACTCTTCAATCTTGAGCTCATGGACCCTGGGGATCCCCTGCACGCCTGGGCGACGGAGCTCGGGACAAGCATGTCGGATGACGGTTTCCAATGTTGCACGGTAGCAGTGTGTTCGGAGGCCAGGGCCAGCTTTCTGTAGCCGCTCAGCATAGTCCTCCAGAGCATGGCAGGCCCCCTCCCGGAGCCTGTACGGCAATTCGAAGCCAGGCAGCCCAGCTACCCACTGACTCAGTGGGTAGCCACCAGGCTCACTGAGCTTCATGTAGCAGCATCCCACTGAGGCCAGGGCTGCCACCTCAGGACAGCAACAGAAGTGCCTCAGCAAGGCAACACTTAGGTCTCCACAGGCGTGGAGACCCGTCAGCAGCAAGCGAGTGTCACCACCCTGCTGTGGCTCCTCCAGGGGAAGCAGAAGTTCCTCACACAGGGCTGTGGGGTCGACCCACCGAACCACATGGTGGGGGCAGTGGTAAGGGCCTCTTGGGACCACCTGTGGAGGCAAGAAAGGACAAAACTAAGAAAGTCTGTCATTGGGACACCTCAGATACAGGAAAGGACCTATGCTCTGTGTTACTTCTTAAGGAGGAATAGAAAGGCTGGGACATGGGAGAGAGCTGCTGGACCATAATCAGGAGATGAAATAAACTGGGTCCATTGTTGCTGACTATGCAAATCTTTTATCTCTCAAACCCCAGTTTTCCTTTTTTTTTTTTTTTCCTATTATTAATTTGGGTCACACTGGGGGTCAAACCCAGAGCCTCACAGCTGGCTGAGTGCTCTAACACAGAGCTCTACCTCAGCCTCCAAGTTTTCGTGAATAATATGTCTAATGCCTGGTTGAGGACTAGGGATGGAGCTCAGAATAGAGTATTTGTTGGTTCAATCCCTGGAACCACCCCCACACACACAATAAAGATTTTTTGTTTGTTTTTGTTTTTGGAGACAAGGTTTTGCTGTCGATCAGGCTGGCCTTGAACTCACTGTGTAGTCTAGGCAGGCCTCAAACTTGGGGTAATCCTGCTGGTTCAGCCTCTTGAGTGCTGCAATTATAGCTATGTGCCACAATGCCCAGCTAGTAACAAATATGATGATAATACGTGACTGGCAACTTCACAGGTTATTGTGAAAAGAACACATTGTTGTGGAAAGCATTCTGTAATTTCAAGTGTCTATGAGATATGGGAAGGCTTTGGGGAAGGAAGATCTCAGGGAAGAGGCAGCAGAAGCAGGGAGCACACCAACTCAGGCTGAAACAGGAGAGCAGGAACTAAGCCAAGCAATCGCTGCTCCTGCAGTGGGGCTGCCCTACCTGTAGGCTCCTCTTTTTTTCCAAAGCCTGCAGAAGCTCCTGGTCCAGGCGCTGTGCACGCTCCACTAGTCTCTGATCCCCTTCAATGCTCTTCACCATCAGTCCCAGGCCCAGAGACATGAAGCGGGAAAGATGGCCCTTAAGTCATGACAGGGAGGACAGAGTCATCTCTGTTTAGAGTTCTGTCCACATTACCCAGCCTGGACACCTGAGTCCCAGGGCCCACAGAAACTTAAATTCTCTGCTGTTGGGAGCCACTAAAGCTGGAGATGGATCACACATACCAGGCTGACGCAAGGCCATCACTAGAACAAAAAGCGCCTTGAACGAGCCACATAAACAAGCTGCTGCAGCCCAGAGAACACCAAGCCACAGCACAATCCAAGCAATGGGTTGCTCTGCAAAGGGGTGTCATGTGACATCATGTTGCTAAATATATAAATAAATGCACTGCGTTGGTTGAGAGTTCCTTTCCTCCCATCAGGAGAGAGGGCTCCACCTGACCTCAGATTTTATCAATTTGTCTTTTTTCTTTCTTTTCCCATCCTCTTACTGCCCCTGCTACAGCCGGACACAACACTCTGCTGCCTGTTTCTGCTACTTCTCAGAACCTGCCTCCCTGGGCCCGAGGCCTTAAACCTGACTTCCAGTTCTTTTATTCTTATGGCTTGAAAAGACAGTATGTCTGGGGTCTGGCTCACCTGGCCTGAGCCCACGTCCACAACCTGAGTGCAGCCAGTGAGGTTACTCAGCTTCTTCACCAACTGAAAGAGGAGGGAGCAAAGGTCTCCTGGCCATTGGCTCTTCATCATTGGAGCAAATATCCATAATGAGAGTAGAGAGCCAAAGATGGCAGAAAAAGAGGGACAGAGGGAGCCATGAAAGACACAGAGGTCGGGAAACCATAGTGGAGGATGAGTGTGGATGCCCAGACCATGTTTGGGGCACTCAGGTTAGCGACTCAGTCTGCCCCATAGAGTAAGAGCCCTCTGTGAAGCTCAAAGCAGACCATGGAGATGTAAAAATGGGAATAGGAGTGATTCAGATACAGTTGCCAATCAATCCAGCAAAGGGATGAAGAAAGAGCTGCTCAGGTAGGATTACAGGATCTTCTGAGAAGAGAAGCATCTAGGGCCTCTGGTCCTACTGAAGTGCAGGGCATACATTTTTGTAACCCTCTGGCTAAACTCCCAGGGTTCCCTGCCACTGTCCATATTTCAGCCATCTTCTCACCTCTCCCAGCCTGCGGATTTCATGCTGCTTCTTGGGCCTGACATGTTTCCGGAAGGGAGCTGTCAGTCTGGAGCTCTGGCTGGGGTTCTCCAGGAACTCAGAGGGGGTCTGAAAGCTGGGCATCCGAGTAAAAGTCAGGGCATAGGCAGTGGACTTCAGGGCCAGCAGGGTGAGTGGCCACACCGACCTGTACCTGAGATAAGCCAGCCCAGGCCACAGTAAATAGTCCCGTCATGTCTTGAGTTCACCAGATCCTAACCTGGCCCTGGAAGACCTTAGGAAACAATGAGCAGTATCATTGCAGAACCTAGTGCCTTAAGTTCCCTAGCACAGGGCCTTTTCCATGCCATACCTGACCTCTTCTCCTTCTCCAGGCATCCCCAGCAGCTGTGAAGCCAGCTCCGGTGGCTCTAGTCCATCTAGCGCTTTCTGCCATGAGCAAGGGAGTGTGTCCCACAGGTTGTCTGTAAAAAATTCCTGCAAAAGAAATAGAGATGCATTCAAAAGGACACTACCAGACAGGGGGTTTAGCTCAGCGGCGTAAGCGCCTGCTTGGCAAATGCGAGGTCATGAGTTTGATCCCTGGCACCAAAAAAAAAAAAAAAAAAAAAAAGGTCACTACCTGTTACTATGCCCATTCTTCCCTGCCCATCTCACCTCACTCAGCAGGTACCTCTGCCTCCTGGAGGCAGCTCTCCTCCCAAGCCTGCTCCTTCCTCCTCTATCTTCTAAGGGGCTGACCTCTGCTTCTGAGTCCAGACTGTATGCTGGGCTTTCATTGTATCTTTCATTGTCACATTTGTGTCAGTCGTCTCCACTTTTTTTGGGAACAGGGAGGGAGATGGGGTCTATACAGGTGCCCAGGTGGACCTCAAACTCAGATATTTCTGCAATAGCCTCTGCAGCAGCAGGGACTACAGGTGTGTGTATACCTGGCTTCAACTGAATTTCTTTAAGGTGGGGATGGTGTCTTCACATATGCCTCCCTAACACTACCATAGTAACTGTCTCACCAGTATTAGCACATTATCATTTTGGGTTTTTTTAGGTACCAGGAATCAAACTCAGGACTCAGTGTTCGCCAGGCAGGCACTATGCTGCTGAGCTATATCCCTAGCCCCACATTATCATTTTGTAATCTGCCATTTTATGTGCCACACACACACATATGTATAGAAATATACATGCATATATATGTATATATGTGTATATATATATATACACATACATTCATATTTTTTTGACACAAGGTCTCACTATGAAGTTCAGATTAACCTTGAACTCACTGTGTAGCCAGGCTGACCTCAAACTAATAGCAGTTCTCCTGCCTCAGCCTCCAGAGTTCTGGGATTATGGCATGTACTACCATACTGGCCATTATTTTGTTTCTTTTGAGACACAGTCTTACTATGTAGTCCAGTCTGACCTTAAACTCATTATGTAGCCCAAGCTAGCCTCAAACTTGTGATTCTCCTGCCTCAGCCTCCCAAGTGCTAGGATTACAGGTGTATACCACCTGTAAATATACACTGACACATACATATTTTTAATCACTCATTTACTCATCATAAATTTTGGGGCTTTGTTTTGGCTTTACACCAATCTCTGTCCTCAGCTCAGGAGATACAATAGTGATACTGCAGAGTTTACATTAAAAAAAAAAAAAAATCTCACAGACTAGGGAGGTAGTGCTGGTACAGTGCTTTCCCAGCCTGTGTAAAGCCCTGAATTTGATCATCAGCTATACAAAGTAATAATCACAAAAATTATTTCAGCTAACGTCGAGCACCACCAACAATATAACATTTAGAAAAGTTATGTAAAATAAAATTTATTAGAAAACTACTTCAGATAGAGTGATGGGGGAAGCCTTGGCTGAGGTTAGCTAAGACTCGAACGTTTAACAGGAATCAGACGTATAAAGAAAATACAAAGCCAAGCGTCACAGTGCACACTTGTAATCCTAGCACTCAGGAAAGTGATCATAGCAGGACAATTGTCATGAGTTTGGGACTAGCCTGGGCTACATAACAAGACCCTGTCTCAAAAACAAAGTAAAACAAAACTCTGAAGAAGCCAGGCATGATGGCACATGCCTGTAATCCCAGCACTCAGGAAACTGAGGCAGGAGGATCATCTCAAGTTCAAGGCTAGCCTGGACTACAGTGAGTTCATGTTGGGAGCAGGAACCAGGGGTCCGGCAGTGAATGGGTGTGGAAAACCACACACTGAAGCTGGACCTCAACCAGTTCCTTATCCTACAATAACCTCAGCCTTCTAGACAAAGCATCGCTCTGATATTAACCTGGGAATAGCTTCATAACATAAGCAAAGAAGTTTCTCATGGACCCAGGAACATGTTTACCTCCTGGGCTGCACAACAAAGAAGTTTCTCACGGGCCCAAGAACATGTTTACCTTTGCTGCATGCACAAGAAAGTGTCCTGAAGTGACTTGTACTGCTCTTTGTTTTGAAACACTATAAAAACTCTGGAGTCCTTTAATAAATCGCCTTTTGCCTCCTGAGCAACTGGTCTCCCTGAGTCTTCGTCTCTCGCCTGACTCCTTCCCCGCGCTGGCCGCGGCACCTGGCACCTGGCGCCCGAACGTGGGGCTTGGAATATAAGCATTCGGAGCGTTCTTCCAGTGGAAGGAGAATCGGGAGTTCCGAGAAGACCGCTGCTAGGAGGACCCGGGTAAGTGAAAGCGAAAGTAGCAGGGAGTGGCATATACGCAGGGGTGAGAATGGGTAACTCCCCGTCTTCAGAACGGGAACTTTTTGAACAAGTTATTTCCTCTTTGTTAAAGAGTAGGGGCATTCCTGTAGCTAAGCTCCAAATTCATCGGTTTGTTGATTTTGTGCATCAAGTTTGCCCCTGGTTTCCAGAACAGGGAATGGTTAATGTTGAGACTTGGAAGACAGTAGGAGAAAAGATTAAGGATTATTATTGTGCTTGTGGTCCTGAGAAGGTTCCTGTGGATGTGTTTCCGATTTGGACTCTAATTAAGGACTGTTTAAAAGGGGACTCTGAGTCTAGTAAACGGGAAAAAAGAACTCGAGAAAGTTTTATAAGAAAAACCAAATCCTCAGAGAATGTGGCATCCTCCTTATACCGCCCCCTGCCCTCTGCTCCGCCACCACTCTCTGAGCCGCCCTGTTACGAGCAGCCCGACCTCCACATGATTAACAAAATAAACAATAGGCCTGATGATTTACAAGTCAATAACCCTGATAGAGAAGCTGATTCAGATTCAGACGAAGAATTAGGTCTGAAAGAATGGGAAGAGTTAGAGCGTGAGGCCTCCCAATATGAGCATCAACATGAGGCTTTCATGCTTCAAGATCAGGCAAACCCACAATGTAAAGAACCAACGGAGGGCTTAGAAAACTTGATTGAAACATTTAAAAAAGAATTGTCTGATATGGCTAAGCAGATTCAAAAGTTATCTGAGGTTAATTTAAGGGATCAACAGCATAAAAGTTGTAGTACTTCTTCATTGGCAAGGCCTTTGTTTGATCAATATGAAACTTCTACCACACCTCTTGTTGCTCGAGTAGGATTTAGACCAATGCCTTTATTGCCCCCACCTGTGCCTATACGTCCTGTTGCACCTTTAGCGATATCCCCCTTACAACGTGCACTTCAAGAAGCTAGAAAGCAAGGCGAAAATTTAGAGGGATTTCAAGTTTACCCAGTAGTAAGGAGAGTTACTCCACAAGGACAACCATACAATGAACATGAGGGGCTTGCTTTTAAAACAATTAAAGAATTAAAGATGGCAGCTACACAATACGGAGCTACTGCTCCTTTTACTATGTCTATTCTTGAATCAGTAGCGAGCCAGGCTTTGCCGCCTCAAGATTGGAAGCTTTTAGCTAAGGCTATACTGAATGGGGGAGATTATCTTCTTTGGCTATCAGAATATGAAGAGACTACCATGGGATATGCATTAGACGATCAAGCTATTGCTAATGGAATTTCTATGGATCATCTTCAAGGGAAAGGGGCTTTTGCGGCCCTGGGTGCTCAATTAAATTACCCTGGCTATGCCTATGATTTGATTCGATGGGCCGCTTTAGCAGCATGGAAAAAATTGCCACAATCAGGATCAAAGAAGGGAGAATTAGGCAAGATTAAACAGGGTCCTGATGAACCATTCCAGGATTTTGTCTCTCGCCTCCTTCAGGCTGCTGGACGATTGATAAGTGATCAAGAAACCAGCAATATATTAGTAAAAAAATTGGCTTTTAAAAATGCCAATGCAGTCTGCCAAGCAGCAATTCGACCCTGGAAGGGACGGGGCACCTTAAATGATTACATCAGACTCTGTGCAGACATAGGAGCAGGATATATTCAAGGATTGTCTATGGCAGCTGCTTTGAAGGGACAAACCCTGCAAGAATGTTTGGCAATACAACATAGCAAACGTAAAAAACGTATCCTTGGCCCTCCAGGAAGTTGTTACAATTGTGGAAAAATGGGGCATATTGCCAAACAATGCTCTGATTCTCCAAAAGGTGGGAATAATGCAAACAATAAGGTTAAAATTGATAAAAAGCCAAAAGCCCCAGGGTTATGTCCATGCTGTAAGAGAGGAGATCACTGGGCTAATGAATGTTATTTTAAAAGAGATAAGGAAGGCAATCTACTACCCCCCCAGCAGGGAAACTCCAAGAGGGGCCAGCCCCAGGCCCAGCAACAAATCTTCGGGGCAATTCAACCCAGAAACAATCCGTTTCAGACTCTCCAGAGCAACTCCAGGAAGCACAGGATTGGACCTCAGTTCCTCAACCCACATCATATTAACCCCAGAGCTAGGAGTCCAACTGATACCTACTAGCATTTATGGCCCGTTACCTCCAAACAATTGGGGGCTTTTACTAGGCAGAAGTGGATTTACTTTAAAAGGACTTATAGTACTTCCTGAAGTGATAGATCAAGATTATGAGGGAGAAATTAAAGTTATGGCTAAAACCGATACAGTAGTCATTAATATACCTCCGGGTACCCGTACAGCACAGTTATTATTGTTGCCCCTTATTCAAGGAAAACAAAAGATGCTCAGGAAAAAACCTAAGGCACCGAAGGGTTTGGCTCCTCTGATGCTTTTCTTATTCGACAAATACAAGATGAAAGACCAGAGTGCTTACTAAAAATACAGGGAAAAACCTTTCTTGGAATAATGGATACAGGGGCTGATGTTTCTGTTATAAGACAACAAGACTGGCCTTCATCCTGGCCCTTGGATCCTGTCCCTGCTGTTCTCCAAGGAGTCGGGCAAGCCCCCGCTCCTTTTAAATTCTCTTCTATATTATCCTGGACTGATTTGGAGGGATATACTGGAGAATTCCAACCACATGTTTTACCTAATCTTCTCCTAAATTTGTGGGGACGAGACATGCTAAGCCAAATGGGAGTGGAGTCCAAGTCCCACTGTGACCAAACAGATGTTGCAAATGGGCCAATTGCCATTTGCAGGCATGGGAAAAAATAATCAAAGTATCAAAGACCCTTTATCCATCCCACAAAAGGTTGATAAACAGGGGTTGGATTTTTCTTAGTAGCCGCCCCGCTATCCATGCTGATAAAATTAATTGGAAATCTGATACACCAGTATGGGTAGATCAGTGGCCCATGCCTGAGGCTAAACTCCAAGCCGCCAGGCAATTAGTGCAGTAACAGTTAGTCTGTGGTCACATCCGACCTTCCTCCTCCCCCTGGAATTCGCCTATATTTGTGATAGAAAAGAAATCAGGAAAATGGAGATTATTACAAAACCTTAGAAAAGTTAATGATACTATGTTTCCTATGGGGGCTCTTCAGCCTGGACTTCCATCACCTATGGCAATACCTCTGTCACATCATTGTATTGTTCTTGATTTGAAAGATTGTTTTTATACTATCCCTCTCCACCCCGAGGATTGCAAGAGATTTTCTTTTAGTATTCCTTCCTGTAATTTGTCCTCACCTATGGAAAGATATGAGTGGGATGTGTTACCTCAAGGTAAGGCTATTAGCCCCACCTTGTGTCAAAAGTTTGTACATGCAGCCATTGCCAATACCAGATCTAAATTTGCCTCTGCTACCATTATTCATTATATGGATATTTTAATAGCCCATCAAGATTCTGAGATGCTTTTGCAAGTATATGCCTCTCTTCATCAGGATTTAACAAATAATGGGCTGGTCATCGCGCCTGAGAAGGTCCAAACTTCACCTCCTTATTCTTATCTAGGTTTTCACTTATATCCACAGCATTTTTCTTCTCCACGATTGTCTGTTAATACTTCTCACTTGTGTACGTTACATGATTTTCAAAAACTCTTAGGCGAAATTAATTGGATCCTGCCATCTCAAGACCTCCACCCATTGTTTTCCTTATTAGCTGGAGATTCTAACCCAAGTTCACCCTGCCAAATGATAGCAGAAGCTCGCAAAGCTCTTGAACTGGTTAATAAGGCTTTTCAAAGTGCGCAGCTTCATTATTGTGATTATTCCACTCCCTGGTCTCTTATCATCATACCCACGTCCTTTTCCCCTACAGGTGTGTTATATCAACAGGGAGTTCTCTCATGGATTCATGGTTCGCATTCCCCGCAAAGGGCTCTCCCCCCTTATGCCTCTTTGGTCGCAGAAAGGATTATGCAAGGAAGAAAACTGTCTATAATGCATTTAGGAAGAGACCCTCACTCTATTATAATCCCTTATACATCTGAACAGCTCAAATGGTTGCTTAATATGACTGATTATTTTCCTCTATCTCTAGCGTCCTATACCGGTCAAATCCAACATCATTATCCCAAGGATAAAATTCTTCAATTTGCCTCTAAAGTTACCTTCTCATTTCCTCAAATCATACGCATGAAACCCCTTGTTAATGCTATTACTTTATTTTCAGATGGAAGCTCCAATGAAAAGCTATTTTAGTATCCCCAAATCAAACTTATGTATGACAATTGAGGAGTACTTCAGCTCAGAAGACTGAACTTTATGCTGTTTATCGGGCTTTTATTCTTTTCTTTGATGTTCCCTTAAATTTGTTTTCAGAGAGCCAATATGTAGTACAAGCCTTGTCTGTTTTAGAATGCGTACCTGTTATCAACACTGCTAACATCCTTGTTGCACAGTTTTTTGGTCTCATTCAATCATCTTTACATTCTCGATCTGCACCTTGTTTTGTAGGACATATTCGCAGTCACTCTAATCTCCCAGGCGCTCTGACTCTTGGAAATGCAATTGCAGATCAAGCCACGCATATTGGACTGTCTGCTGTTTCGCAAGCACAACAGTCACATGCTCTTCATCACCAAGCTGCACAAGTTTTACGTTATCAATATGGTATAACACAGCAGCAAGCACAAGAAATTGTTAAAAACTGTTCCTCGTGTGCGCCTCTCCTTCCAGTACCTCATTTTGGAGTCAACCCTCGAGGACTCCATCCAAACGACATCTGGCAGATGGATGTCACTTATTATCCTTTTTTTGGGTCATTAAAATACTACACATCACCATAGATACCTTTTCTCATTACATGCTTGCTTCACCTATGACTGGAGAAACTGCCACCCATGTAATACAACACCGACTATATTGTTTCTCTATCCTAGGCATTCCTCGATCCATTAAAACTGATAATGGCCCAGCATATGTTAGTAAACCCTTTGCCAAATTCTGTCAGACTTTCCATATTAAACATGTTACTGGATTACCTTATAACCCTCAAGGACAAGGAATTGTTGAACGTGCTAATCTCTCACTAAAAAACACGTTAAAGAAATTAAAAAGGGGGAGATGGTATAAGTATTCTCTCAAAACCCTTCTTAACCATGCTCTTAACGTTCTTAATTTTTTAACTTTTGATGCTTCCAATAGATCTGCAGCTGAGAGACATTGGTCTCCTGATTTGCCCTCCAAACCAGTGGTGTATTGGAAAGACCCATTAACTAATCTATTACATGGTCCTGACCCAGTATTGATATGGGGGAGAGGATATGTTTGTGTTTTTCCCACAGACGCTGATACACCCAGGTGGATCCCAGAATGTTGTGTACGACATGCCCAAGAGCAAGATAGAAAAACTGCGCAGGAAGATGCTTCGACTAACCATGACCTCGAGGACGAGAACAACGACCAGAAGGCCTCCTGCGACAAGAGATGAAACTCTTCTGTTTTTGGCTCAACTGCTAAGCATTATTTGGGTTTTGCATACATTTCAAACGCCTGTGTGGGCGGATAATTATTGGGCATTTGTACCTAATCCTCCTTTGTTGCACCCTATGTCATGGGGCGACAACGATGATGTTACTGTTTATGTAAATAATACTCGAGTCTTAAGTTTTCCTTCTTCCACTCATATACAACCTATCTCTATTGTATATAATTACACTGGAATGTCTACTTCATTACCCCTATGTTTTTCTAAAACAAATGAGAATTGTACATTAATAGAAAGATACTCTGATTGGGATGGAAACTTTTACTAATGGAACGCACTGTGGAGTAGATATGATGTATATATTTCACAACAGTAGTGAAACTAGAGTGGGAAAAGGCAATCCCTCTGAGCATATTCCCGAATGTAGACAAAAATACCCAAGCAAAAGTGTATATGGACCCTCATGGCGTTTGTGCCATCATAATTATACTATATGTTACAAAGATCTATGTGATTGGAGTGATTATAGAGAAACAACCTACAGGTCCCGAAATTTATTATATGGAATATGCACAAGGAATAACATCACCTTTTTTACCATGCTGTGGAAGTTGGTTGCAGCTCTTGATTATATTGCTGTTGCAAAACAAAAAGTTGTATGGCAACATATAGGGACACAGGATGCTATTTCTGTTAATGGCACAGTAAAAAATGTAACTATCATAGCTTGTGTTTCTGAACCATATGGTGTTATCAGTGGAGAACTTACTGTAAAAAAGAACAATGAATCTTACGAAATTACTTGTAAAGATTGCATCTTATCCAATTGTGTTAATGCTTCACGAAACCACTCATCCATATTACTGGTCAAACAACCTCCATTTGTATTTTTACCTGTTAACATCACCACAGAGTGGTATCAAGATCCTTCTGTGATTATTTTGCAAAAGTTAACTAACCTTTTAAATCGGGCCAAATGATTTGTTGGGATGTTAATGACTGGAATTGCCGCACTTATTACTTTAATAGCCTCCACTGCAATGTCTGCAATATCTCTTACGGAAAGTGTGCAAACTGCATCCTATGTCAATGAATTATCCCATAATGTTTCTCTGGTTTTGAAAATACAGGAAAATTGGGATAGCCTGATTGAACAGAAATTAAATGCTCTACAAGATACAGTAATAACCTTAGGAGACCAGTTATATGCTTTGCAAGTACAATCTTCTCTGAAATGTCATGCCTTATACAAACATATTTGTGTTACTTCACATAGATATAATCAAAGTGATGTACCTTGGGATAGCGTGAAAAATCATTTGCTAGGAATATGGCATAATTCCAATACTTCTCTAGATTTGCTTAAGCTGCATAAAACTATCCAAGACATAACCAATGCGCCGGCAATAAAAAGTTGATACAGCAAAAGAAACTGAGCAAATATTCGACGCATTAACCAGCCATTTCCCAAGCCTCACGGGTGTTTCACATTTTATCATTCTAGCTGGTATTGGAGCTCTAGCATTTATCGCCATGATAACGATTTCTCCATATTTTGTGAGAATTGTTGTTGGACAAATGAGAAATGTGCTTTTGGACTTGAAACGTTTTAAATTAGAATCAATGGCTAGTGAAATTCCCACGCGACGCTTTGTCTAAGAAATAAGGGGTATATGTTGGGAGCAGGAACCAGGGGTCTGGCAGTGAACGGGTGTGGAAAACCACACACTGAAGCTGGACCTCAACCAGTTCCTTATCCTGCAATAACCTCAGCCTTCTAGACAAAGCATCGCGCTGATATTAACCTGGGAATAGCTTCATAACATAAGCAAAGAAGTTTCTCATGGGCCCAGGAACATGTTTACCTCCTGGGCTGCACAACAAAGAAGTTTCTCATGGGCCCAAGAACATGTTTACCTTTGCTGTATGCACAAGAAAGTGTCCTGAAGTGACTTGTACTGCTCTTTGTTTTGAAACACTATAAAAACTCTGGAGTCCTTTAATAAATCGCCTTTTGCCTCCTGAGCAACTGGTCTCCCTGCATCTTCAGTCTTTCGCCTGACTCCTTCCCCGTGTTGACCGCGGCACCTGGCAAGTTCAAGGTCAGCCAGAATTATACAGTGAGACCCATCTTAAAAAACAAAAACAAAGGGGCTGGAGATTTAGCTCAGCAGCATAAGCACCTGCCTTGCAAGCAGGCAGTCTTGAGTTTGATCCCTGGTACCAATAAAAAAAAAACAAAAACAAATTATGACAAACCTACTGCCAACATCATATTAAGTGAGGAAAAAGTGAAAGCCTGTTCTTTAAAATCAGGAACAAAACAAGGATGTCCACAATCCCCACACCTGTTTAATATGGTACTTAAAACTTTAGCCAGCACAATCAAACAAGAGAAAGGGGATATTTATAGGAAAGGAAGAAGTCAAACTATTTGTATTCACAGATGACATGATCCTTTAAATAGAAGACCCAAAAAATTCCACCAAGATTTCTAGAACTTCACGAATTCAACAGACAAAACTCAATAGGATTCCAGCCAGGTGTGATGGTCCACGCCTATAATCCCAGCCCTTGGGCAGCTGAGGCAGGAAGGATCTCCTGGACTAGTGAGATCCTGTCTTAAAAAACAAACAAACAAACAAAAAACCACAACAGGATTCCTGTATTCACCAAGAAAGAAATTAGAAAAATAACATCATTCACAACTTTAAGAAAAATACTTGGGAATTAATCTAATGAAGTGAATGACATCTATAATAAAAACTAAAGTACTCTGAAAAAGGAGATCAAAAGGACATCAGCTATGCTTAGCTATCACACATGTTAAAGTGATATATGTACATCCATGTTTATAGCAGCACAATTCATAATATGTGCTAAATTTTGGAAGCAGCCTATATGTCTATCAACAGATGAATAGATAAAGTGTATTTATACACAATGGAGTACTACTCTGCTATAAAGTATAAACCTGAGTCATTTGTAGGAAAATGGGTGCACCTTGACCACAATGTTGAGTGAAATAAACTGGACATACAAGTTTAAATATCACATGGTTTCTCCTACATAAGAAACTCAATGTATAAATAAAGAGCAAAATAAAATACAGCTAATAGGAAACAAAGAGTTAGCTCTTTTGTAAATGAGAAAGGGACTAAGAGATGGAAGGAATTAATTTTTTTTTTTTTGTCTTTTTTGTTTTTATCAGTACCAGGGATCGAACTCAGGTGCCTTATGCCGCTGAGCTAAATCCCCAGCCCCAGGAATGATTTTTAAGATATGTACATGTACCAACTCTGCATAATGATTACATTCACTAGTACTAATAATAATAAAAAATAATATAATAAAAAATATAGACAAAAAGGGCTAGGGATGAGGCTCAGCATGAAGGCTTTTAGTTCAATCCTTAATACCACACACATACACACACACAAAGAGAAAATACAAACAATAACAAATATTCACATAATACTTTCTATGCCAGGAACTGTTGAAAACATCTGACAGGTATGAACCTAATTAATAAACAGCTTTATGAGACAGGTTCTATTTTGAGCCCCCATTTTACAGATGAAACTAAAACAACAATTGAATGACCTCCCTGATTCAAAAAGCTAGTAAAGGGCTGGGGATTTAGCTCAGTGGCATAAGTGCCTGCCTTGCAAGCACATGGTCGTGAGTTTGAACCCCAGTACAAAGAAAAAAGATCTTAAAAGGAAAAAACCCCAAAAAGCTAGTAAAGAGAAGAGCTAGAAAATGAAACCTATTTTATTCAAATGCTTGCTCTTAACTGATTTGCTCTATTGCTTTTCCAGGAAGCTTTTCCAGGCAGACCAACAAATGCAAAGGCTCAAACACCTATCAAATTTGTGAGACAGAAATCAGGCCAGTGTAACATAGCAGAGTGAACGTAGGAAAAAAATGAAATATGATGTGGACAAAGCAGCAGCAGAGCTCCCATTATGCAGGGATATACAAATAACATAGTAAAGAATTAGCATTTCGGCTGGGGATTTAGCTCAGCGGCATAAGCGCCTGGCAGGCAGTCGTGAGTTCGATCCCTGGTACCGATAAAAATGAAAAAGACAAAAAAAAAAAAAAAAAAAGAATTAGCATTTCATCAAAGTATCTTGGAAGCAATGAAGTGTTGTGATAAGGTATTAAGATTTATGTTTGAAAGACTTCAAAGAGAAATGCTGGTTATGGACAGACATTAGTAAACAGAGAGCAAGTAGTTCAGGGAAGATGCTGGTGGCTTGGCCCACGGAGGTAACAATAGAGATTAAGGCGAATTAATTTGGCATCTGCGATGAAGGTAAAGCCAAGAGAACTTGAAGAATTGGACTGTGGATGAATGAAACAATAAATCAAGGATAGCTTCTGGGTTTGGGGTTCGAATACTTCAGTCACAATAATTCAACCATTTGTACATTATCTCATTTATTATTAGCAGTGATCCTTCAGATAGAGATCCATTTTATAGTTGAAACCAGGGACTGGAATAAAGCAGCGCGGGGGGGAGGGGGACCTTAATAGTAACACTGTACAGGAGGCAAGATTCTAGGCCCACTGTGATTCTAAAGCTAAACTTTCCACAATAAAAATGAGTTAGAATGAATTAACACGTGTTTTACTGTAACATTTCATACACTCCTAGGACAGTTCGATGTTAACTGCAGTACGACTCAAAGGTCCATGTTTTGGCCAGGCGTAGAGGAAATAACCCCCTTTTTACTCTTTCTTCTGGAATGACTACAAACTCAAGAGAAAAAAAGATCAAATGTAAATCCCTCGTCATGAGCACCTAGACAACCACACTAGCAGAGGCAGCCCGCCCACGACCCTGTGGACTCACAATGATGTAGGCGTCCAGGATGGAACGATACAGCGCCAGAACACGGGTGAGGTTCACAGCTAGCTGCCTTCGCTCCTCGAGGGAGAGGCTCCGAGCGGAGACGCCTGGCATCCCAAATTTCAACTGGTGGCACGGGGAGCGAGGACGCTGTGAGCTGGGATCCAGGATAAGTACCACACTGGACCAGAACCCCAGTGGGGGTCAGCTCCGCCAGCCGAACGGGAAGAGTTCTGAGCCTGGTCCCTGATGCTGCTTTTCTGGGACACCATAACCGGGCTGAAAATACTATAAAAGAAGCGCCTGTACCTGGTTTGAGGTCACAAGTCGCTACGCCTACAGTTCGCAGGTGCTGGCGTCCGAGTCACGTGAGCAGAGTGACAGCGTAGTGACGTCACAGAGACGTGAGGCGGCGCCAGTCCCCAACGGGGCAGGCCAAATTACTGCTATTGCCTTTTCCCTCCTAAGGACCTCCTCTGCCGGAAGTGGGGCTGGTTCCCGGCGCTCCGCAGTTCTGGTTTCTCTTGGCCCACTCCACCTTCGAGTTGTACCCCCACGGGGCTAGAGGGGCCGAGGAGCATATCCGCCCCAGCCCCCACGCACGCCGCCGCCGCCGCCGGGCTTTCTACCCTCTGAATCTTTGGTTTCGCTGCCGGAAGTGGGGACGCTTCGGTCGGGTGCGCCGTCCCCCAGCACGTTCCCATCCGCGCGCCCGCCGTCCGGGGCTCGTCGGCGCGCTCCGGTTTCTGTATCTGGCTCGGGACGTTTCCGTTCGTAGTAGGGCCAGTCCAGGAGGTAGGTCTGTGGGTTTGGGGGACGGTTCCCACTGCAAGAACCGTCAAAAGTGTGCTTGCGAGCCGTCTCGACTTCCGAGCTCCCTCACTTTACCCCTCTGGTAGATGTCAAAGGTTCTTGCTTCGGAGAACTTGGGTGAGTTGCGTGTAGCAGTTGCCCCCTACAAACCACGCGGAGCCAAGCGGGAAGGGTGCCTGGATTCTCATTCTTGGTGCCCGCGCTGTGGATGCCATCAGTACACTTGGACATTCCCTCTGTAGGCAGATGCCAGCTCACCCTTTCTGGCTTCTAGACCTTACGAGAATGGAACTTAGTGAGTCCACTAGCCCCCACAATACCGTAGATTTTGAGTGGCGGTACTGGGGATTGGACCCAGGGCATCCTCACGGCCCTACTTCCCTTGTTTCCTTCCTTTTGTTTTTTGGAGACAGGGTTTTGCTAAATTGTTTGACACAGGGCCTTGCTAGTATGGCTTTGAATTTGTAATTGTCTTGCCTCAGCTTCCCAGAGTGCTATGATTACAGGCATGTGCCACATCTGGCTCTTTTGCTTGGGGGGGGGGTGATGGTACACAAGTCCTCATGCTGAACAGTCCCCCGCTGAACTACATCTGCGCCCCCCAGCGCCTTCATTTTATAATTGAGACTGACACCCAGAATGACTTTCCTAAATCTATACTGAACTGTGGGGCCTCACTAAAATTCAGATTTTGTTTTACTCTTTAATGCATACCATCATTTCATTTCCCTGGCTATCTGGCAGGTTGTTCTGATGTCTTTCTTGCTTTAAATTCTACAGAAATGGCTTTTATCTCATTTTCCCCAAGCCTATGGGTACAGTTACTAGCATCACTTTTCTCCTTAGGGTTTTCTGCAGTTCTTCATCTGACAGACAATGGGACTCAATAGAGAATGAGAACCTTATCTTCCTGTCATCTGTGAGCCACTCTTTCCAGTACTCCCACCATTTGCTGTCCTCATGTCTACTTTACTCCTGAATCTGGATTTTTCCGAATCTCCTCTCAAAAAGTCATTAGAAGGAAATGCCAAACATAGAAGTTTTGTCAAGAGGCGAAGGTTCTTGGAACAGAGAGGCTTTCTCAATAAAAAGAATCAGCGTCCTAGTAAGGCGCCTAAGCCACACTCAGAACCTACAAAGAAGGAAACTCTCAGAGTCGATGGCACTGGAAAGGTCAAGTCTCTCAGCAAAAAGAAGACAGCTGCCTCCTGTGGTAGGTTAGAGCAATCCCTGGACAAGAAAGCTACAGTGTCTAGGCTGACCCCTGCCCCTTCAAAGAAGACTGATTCTGTTGTGGGTAAAGTAGATTTACTGGGGGAGTTCCAGAGTGCCCTTCCAAAGATTAAGAGCCACCCATGTCGCTCCCAGAAGAAGCTGCCACAGAAGAAGCCGCCGCAGAAGAAGCCACCTCAGAAGAAGCCGCCACAGAAGAAGCCCCCTGAAAATAGCAGCATACCAAATTCCACCCAGGCCCACTCAGAGAGTACATGCGCTGGAGCTTTGTGGAAACCAGGGAAGATGGTGGCAGTTGACTGTGAGATGGTGGGCACAGGCCCCAAGGGGCATGTAAGTTCCTTGGCTCGGTGTAGTATCGTCAGCTATGATGGAGACGTGCTTTATGATGAGTATGTCCGTCCCCCCTGTCCCATTGTGGACTACCGGACCAGATGGAGTGGTATCCGTAAGCAGCACATGGTGAAGGCTACACCCTTCAAGACTGCTCGGAGCCAGGTAAGGAATGTGGGGCATGATGATGACAATGACAACTGGATCAAGAGATTTTGCCAGCAGTGGTTGTCATCCTGGAAAGGTGTCAAAGGATTGTAGGAGAGCAGAATATCAGATGAGTAAGGCCTAGAATAAAGAGTGATAAAAGTGCTCATCAAGGTGTTATGCATTTGTAATCTCTACATTCCAGGGGCCCTACACAGGAGGCTCATTGAGAATTTGAGGCCAGCCAGGCTACATAGTAAGACTCTGTCTCAAAAAAAAAAAAAAAAATTGGGGGATTTAATAGGATTGATCCGGGGACTAGCTGTGTGTGTGTGTGTGTGTGTGTGTGTGTGTATAGCAGTGATGGTGAATCTATGGCATGTGTGCCTCTATGGGCTGTTTGTATCATGGAAAGCTCTGAAAAGGTTCACCATCACTACCTTATAGGATGGGAGGCTAGGACTGAGAGAAAGGAGGTGGAGAGAGTTCCTCAAACAAAAAGTAGCCCAAGACAAGAGGTAGGAGAGGTCAGAAAGTTGATAAGAGCTTGCTGTGTACCTGGGAGAGGTGGTCTCTAGTGAAGGACATAAAAGACACAGGATTGGGTTAGGTAGGGATTCTCGTCACACTCATTGAGCTAACCTATTCATTCTAGCCATCAGCTGGATTTTGGGAGCATAACAGATGAACAAGACGGGCTGGGGATTTAGCTCAGTGGCATAAGCGCCTGCCTGGCAAGTGCAAGTCACGAGTTTGATCCCCGATACCACACATACACACAAAAAATGAACAAGAAAGTAAGGCAGAGGCCAGGGATTTATTTAGCTCAGTGGTGTAAGTGCCTGCCTGGCAAGCTCGAGGTCGTGAGTTCCATCCCCGGTACCAAAGAAAAGAAAAGAAAAAGGAAGGTGAGTTCTCTAAGTGAAGGGAGAAGGAGAACGAGCTGGCCTTAGCAGGCCACCAGAGGACGCCCTTGGTCCATGCTCCACACTACTTTCTGTGAATGCTCTGTGTATCAATAATTCCTTATAGTCCCGGCCAGGTGTTGGAGGATGTTCATCAGAGGTAGAGCAGCTAGTTATTAAACAAAGAGTGGAGAGATATCCTAAGCGCAGGGAAACGGCTGAACAGAGGCTTGGGAGAGACAGAGGTAGGATGGGTTTGAGATGGTAGATTACCTCAAGGCAGAAATTGAATCTTGTGAAATCAAGGCATTGATGGACAATAAACTGCAGGTGAGATTAAGAACAACTAAATACTTTGGTTGATTGTAGTACAGCTAGTTTTCAATATAAGATTAGTACCCAGGCTGGGGTTATGAAATAGGTGTCCAGATGAATTGGTTTCTTTGAGGACATCCCATTGGGAGGTCATACAGCACTGCAACTTTCTGTACAGCCTTTTAGGAACACCATTTTGGGAACAGCCTTTGGAGCTCATGATGTGTTCTTTTAACTCACTGATAGTCTTCATGCATTATGATACTAAAATGATAAGATGTTATTTGGCTTCAAGACTAGTGTAAGGTCTCCTGTGCAGCTTTAGTCTTCAAGTGACTTACTCTTTTATAATTTGGAGTCCTTTGAGAGTCTCATGAAAACATAAGCTCTCTTTCCCCAAAAGTAAAAGTAACCACACTACTAGGTGCGTTTCATCTGGGTCTTCTGTTACCTACTTGGAACCCATCCATCTTCCATTTCATGGGTTCCAGTCACATGTCTAAGGTTGACATGATGATAAAGGACTTAAAGTGCGAGTCAAAACTGAACTAGATAGTTATGTGAGCATTCTCCCCCCCCCCCGCCCCTTTTACATAAGGGCTCACCATAGCTCAGGCTTGCGTTCAAAATCTCTCAGCCTCAGTTTCCTGAGTGCTGGAATTACAGGAATGTGCCACCATATCTGGCAGTTACATGAACATCTTAAGTGCAAGTTCAGTTTAGTACAAAAGGAAAATTAATCCATCATTAGGGTGGCAATCAATAAGATAAGGAACAGCTGGGCATTGTGGCACTCATTTATAATCCCAGGTATCCAGGAAGCTGAGACAGGAGGGTGACAAGTCTGAGGCTAGCTGGATAACTTAGTAAGACCCTGTCTCAGGTCTTTCTGTTGTTGTTTTTTGGGTCTCACTATGTAATACAGACTTACTATGTAGCTTAGGCTGGCCTCAAACTAGTAGTGATCCTCCTGCCTCAGCTTCAATCTCCTGAGTGTTGGGATTACAGGCATATGCTATCTTCCCTGGCCCTGTCTCAGAATTTTGAAAGTCCAGGGGTGTAGCTCAGTGTTTCCCATCACCACAAGAAATAAAAGAAGGTGAGCTATTGTCAATATAGATCCAAGTAATAAAGTTGCACATGGAAGCTGTCTACTTCTACACTGGAGAAGAGGAAATAGATTTCAGGAGAAAAAACTTGTCAGAGCATTTCAAGGACGAGGCAGGTAGGTGTTTGATGCAGAGAAACCAGAGGTACTGATGGGCATGGGGAGTTTTCTGGATCTAGGGGTCCACATTTGAGTCTGGCTTCTCACTTTTTCTCTCCTTCCTATTCCAGATCTTGAAGATCCTCACAGGGAAGATTGTAGTGGGACACGCCATCCACAATGACTTCAAAGCCCTGCAGTACTTTCACCCCAAGCATCTTACCAGAGACACCTCCCAAATCCCCCTCCTCAACCGCAAGGCTGGTTTCCTGGAGAATGTCACTATGTCTCTCAAGAATCTCACCAAGAAACTGCTGAGCCGGGATATCCAGGTAGCTTCTCCCTGAGTGTCGCATCACACACACCTCTGGCGTGTGGGTTCCTCCTACTGCCTCTCCAAGCTCTGGCCCAGAAGTCTTGGCTGTAGACCATCATATGGGTGCTCTGGTGAACACAGCTTTGGGCTAAGGGACCCAGAAGTCTCTGTCTATATGGAGGGATAGTGAATGTTTTATTCTTCCTCACAGAACATTCCTAATGATATTTTGAAAAGGAAAAATTAACCCAAAGTGGATATGAACCCCCGAAGGAAAGAAAAGCAGGCATGCTTGTGCATGCCTATAACTCTAGCACTCAGGAAGTTGAGGCAGGGCTAATCACTGTGAGTTTTAGTCCAGCCTGGGCTATGTAGTGAGCTCAACAGCAGCCTGAACTACCTAGCAAGTCCTTGTCTCCAAAAAGAAGAAGAAAGAAAAGCAGGCACTGGAGATGACCTAAAAGAACAGAGTAGTGGCTTAAGGACCATGCAGACATTTCACATGCTCTGTTCAGAGAAAGAGTTTTATTTGGAAGTTGTAGACCCGGGCCATATAGAGAGCAGTTGAAGAACTAGGGATGGTAGAAGACTTGAAAGTCCTGCCTTTGGTCTGGTGTGTTCTGTCTGAGGAACTTGGACCACCAGGGTGTGTATATATGCTGCTACAGAAAGAGTTGAGGCAGGCAGGAGCAAAGACTTAGGAGTCTGAGCCCTGGAGTTAGGTGTGAAGTGGAGCCAACTGCAGAAGAAACACTGTGGGGTGGCAAGATATGAAGGGAGCAGTATTGGTTGGGAAGGGAAAAGTTTGTGTGGGTTCAGACTTTTCTCTTAATCCTTGTACAGGCCGGAAAAAGTGGACACTCCTCTGTGGAAGATGCCCAGGCCACCATGGAGCTATACAAGTTGGTCGAAGTTGAGTGGGAACAGCACCTGGCCCAGAATTCCCTGAAAAACTAGCAACCGTGGGACAGCAGGAGCAGCATGCAGAACAGGCAACAGCCCTGTACACGACCGAGCACACCTGGGGAGGCTGGAATTGTTGGGGAGAGAGGTTCCACCCCTCACTCAATAGCCATTGCAATTTCACCTTGCTCTTGTGTTTCATATCTGGTTAAGTGTGCTATAGAAGGGGAATTCTTTGTTTTGAACCCTGCTCTGGACTGTTTACCTCATCAGTGGTGCTAACCACAGATTCCTGGTTGCTTTGTGCTGTCCAGACAGTGGGACATACTGGGAAATGTAGTTTCCCACCTGTCTTACCACTAGCAGAGCCCTTTGCCTCTTAGGGTGGAACAGTGCATTGCCCAATCTGGCCTTGGCTACCTGGGCTCAACCATCTTTTTTCCTCACCCTCCAGAGTAGCTAGGACTATAGGTGCACGTCACCATACCCACTAGGTCTCATTAAGACCCTTTCACTTTCAAAAGTGTTTTGGGGCTAGGTATGGCTCAAGGGTAGAAGTACCGCCCTAGCATATATAAGGCCTTGGGTTTGCTCCCCAGAAATCCTCCTCCCCCGCAGTATCCAGGTTGGACTCTGAATTGTATGATCCTGTTCCATGTCACAGACCTTGTCTTTGGCACACCTGGCCTGCCAGGATGTCACGTGCTGGCTTGCAGAGGAGCCATCTAGAGGGCAGTTTAGTTTCTAGGGTTGCAAAGCAGTGAGATAAGAGTATAGCTTGGAAATCAAGTTTTCTGATATAGAAAAGCTCATCTAGAATAATAGAGGATTTATTTAGTTTCTGCTTGGTGGATTAAAAAATTTACATTGTTTTAATTTTTTAAAATCATCTTTTACCTTGCTAAATGAAGTCTTTTAAAAACTTATGATTGTTTTGATAAATTTTTATAGTGGAAAACAATTGTGTGATGGTTCTTTTTTGACTTTAACATCTCAAGACATTCAGGGACTGTACAGTTCTGTAGAGAGGCTCCCAGGCTGTCTGGGTGGCATAAATTGGCCCCCTTGTTAACTGAAAGTTAAGGAGAAGCACTGACCAAACCCTCATGTATGACGTGTTACAGGTGCCTTGTTCTGGTTCCTTCCATAAAGTTACAAGCACACTTAAAATGGCACCTGAGCCCTGTAACAGATGGGCATGAGACCAAAAATGAGACAGTGAAACTGAGAATAAGAAAAGCAGGGGGCAGGGAGGAAGGTTGCTTGGTGCTGCTGGCCTGGCCACTGTTGCCAGCTCTTCCTCAGGGGTGAGACACCATTTTGGGGAACTCAGTTACAGGTCTGACCGTGTGTCCAGGATTACTATCTGTGTTGTCTTGTTAGTTTAATATTTTGAGACATGGTCCTGCTGAGTTGCTCAAGCTGGCCACATACCTCTGATCTCAGCCTCCCAAGTAGTTGGGAAGACAGGTATGTGCCACCGCCTCTTATATACACATTTTTCTTCTTTCTTTCTTTTTTTTTTTTTTTTTTTTTGTACTTGGGATTGAGCTCACTACCTTGTGTTTGCCAGGCAGGCACTTGTGCTTGCAGAGCTATAGCCCTGCCCCACTTTTTTCATTTTTTGAGATGTTCTCTATGTAGTTTGGGCTGGTCTTGAACTCACTGTGTATCCTAGGCCGGCATTTAACACACTGTAATGCTCCTGCCTCAGCCTCTTGAGTGCTGGAATTATAGGTGTACACCACCACACTCAGCCTGCATGTGTTCTTGAAAGACTTCACACATACTGTAGAACATGAGGCTCTTGAGAAGCTGATCTGGCTTCAGGGACAGAGTCGTGGCTGCTGGTGGAAGGGAATTCCTTCTGCTAAACCAGACCCAAGACATAGCCCAGTTTTTGTGTCCTGTGATGCAGGATTTGCTTATATAAGCAGATGTAGTGATTTGAGCAAGTTGATGCCTGTGAGATCCAACATGTCATGTCCAAAACTTGATAAAGAGGTATCAGTGTCCTCACACAGCTCTAAGAGAATAATCCAAAAGCTGGGTACCCACATGAATATATCTTAAGCAGAACATAATACTGGGTTACAACAACCCATCCCATACTTTGCTACTGTAAATTTGTACTTGAGCATGATAGTAGCTGGCTGTGTGTCTCACTAGCTGCACCTTGGGGTACAGGAAGCAATTGTGTTTGTTCAGATGACACTATGAATTGCAAAGTGTGTGCATGTGTGAAAAAGGTCAAGATGGGATATTTATCCATATAATGCTGCATCTAATAGGTTTTATGTATGTTTACCCGAGTATCACAGGGGTAAAATACACCCATACCACTCTTCTGTTGTGTAAACATGTATTTTACCGCGGCTGGGGATTTAGCTCAGCAGCATAAGTGCCTGCCTTGCAAGCAGGCACTCTTGAGTTCAATCCCTGGTACCGATAAAAAGGAAAAAGACAAAAAAAAAAAAAAAAATTGATAAACATGTATTTTACCATAATGGAATGTGGGTATGACTCACAGCTGGTGAAAGTAAAAACCCACCTGTGCATTCACCCACTTGACAGATGAAGATCAATGTAATAGAGGAAATCCAAAGCAGTAACAGGTGAGTTTTAAACCCATGAAATGCTCATTGTTAAATTTTGTGCATTTAAAAAAAAAAAAAATTTCTGTGCATTTAGGATTTGTTTTTTAAAAAGTTGTTTTTGTTTTTGTTTTGTTTTTGTCTTTTTGAGATATGGTCTCACAATGCAGATCAGGCTGGCCTTAAATTCACTTTGTAGATCGAGCTGGTCTTGAACTCACAATGATCCTCCTGTCTCAGCTTCCCAAAGGCTGGGATTACAGGCATATATCACCACACCCAGCTGATAATGACTGATGTTGCCTATGTGACTCAGTTTTTGTGACAGTGAAATGGAGCAAAAATTGACAGGGAATACAGACCCACTTGATTTAGATGACGAAGAAAGCAGCAATATGAGTACATATTTGCCTAGTAGAAATGGTACAAAATGATCACACAAACAGTAGTGAATGATCCAACATTAGAATTTGGTCTGAAAATATAGTGAGGATCTTGGCATGGGTAAAATCTATTGGATGGAATGCCAGCGTTGCCATTCAATGTAGGAAATTGTAACAGACAAAATGCTACAAAATGTGAATTACACACATGGTGAAATACAAATAAAGCATTCTGTGTGCACCAATAGCCATATTCAAAAATGTTATTTACTATGGTAACCTCACTGTCTGAACTGAAAACATTCATAGGTCCTTAGCAGAGCTTTCCACTGATAATTGCAGAAATGTAAATGACATGGAAAAGTGCTGGGTGTGGGTTTGAGGTTTGTAGAATAACAGTCACCCTAAGAAGATTTGGTTTCCTTCAAAATTGTGTGAGGTTTGATAACAAAACCATTGCCAAGAAAGCAAAAGAACTGATAATCTGGCTGCTATCAGCTCAAGTTTTGGGAAGTTTTTAGATAATTGTCAAACAATTTATATACCATTTGACACATGACTTAACAAATATCTTGCAACATTTCATGGTTGCTGTAGCTTCAGGCAGTGTATTCCCAAAAACCGTTCAAAATGTGGCATAAAAATGTATGCCCTTATAGATGTGAAGACATACTTTCAATTTAGAAATTTATCTTGGAACTACACCACCTAGTCTTTATTCATAGTAATAAACCAAATGCTGTAAATGAATTTGTTGTTTCCATCTCCCAAAGTAATCAGAATGTGGCATTTGACAATTGATTCAGTTTGCAATTGATGTTACATTTACTAACAGCATAGGTTGACCAGTGTAGGAACTGTACATAGGAACAAAGCAGAAATTGAAATGTTGCAATTTCAAAACAATTGTGTAGTACAATCTTTGGGTTTCAGAAATGTATAACATTGGCCTGATATGTGGCAAAGAAAAACAAACTGCTACTGCTGATGTCAACATTGTGCCATTATGGAAATATTGATAGGGGAAACTTGACCAATGGATGCCTGAGATGATCGCTTTCTACAACAAACCAAGGTGGAGTAGATGGTAATGAATTGTGCAGCAATATCACTATATCACTTGAAACGCAAAGTGTTGAGCGATGGTTGTGTTTTACTCCACCCTAAACGTGTGGCATAAGTAGTTTCATAGTTTACAAAGAAAATAACAAGTGCAAAATAACACAGGAATTTTCTTAGAAGGCTAGGACTAAAACACATAAGAGTCAAATTTATAGCAGAGGAACAACAAAATGTTTTTGCCCAGGTAACTATGCAAAAAAGGTGTGGAGCACTGGGGATTTAGCTCAGCGGCACCAGTGCCTGCTTGGTAAGCGTGAGGTCGTGAGGTGAGCACACGGGTGAGCTGACGGGTGGTGAACTGGCAAGCACAGCATCACAAAGATCCGCTGTAACAACAGGAAAACTGTGCTATCAGTGTAATGATACTTGTGTATGGAACATGCAGTTTTCATGTGTGAAGACTGCCTTGGAGGTGACAGTTGAAGTGAAAATTATTTCTGCAATGGACTTCTGGTTGTATTTACCCTGTAGTTCACATGGGGTTTTTGGTGTTTGGAGGATTTCTTTGTTTGTTTTTGAGACAGGGTTTTGCTATGCAATTCAGGCTGACCTTGAACTCAGTTTGTAACCCAGACTGGCTTAAAATTTACAACAACAGTCCTGCCTCAGCCTCCCTTGTGCTGGGATTACAGAGGTTTGCCACCCAGCTCACAGGTATTTCTGATATTTAGGTTTTGTAAGCAAGTGAACAGCTGATGTGAAAATGTTGATGTCTATTCTAAGCACTTTGATACTTTATTGGTATCTTATTTCCTGCTAAGTGCACATTATACAGTATAGTTAGAAGTACTTGACAACAGAAGGACAAGAGGTGACAAGAATGCCTGCCACATAGGAAAAGAAAGATAAGCACATGTGCTGTCAGAGCAAGTGAAATGTGTGTATGGAACATGCTGTTGTCATTTGTGAAGACTGCTTTAAGAGCCAGGTATAGTGGCACACACCTAATCCCAGCACTCAGGAAGGAGTTTGAGGCCAAAGGATTGCTGCAAATCTGAGGCCAGCCTGAACTGCATAGTGAAACTCTATCTCAAAAAGACTATTTGAGGGGCTGGGGATTTAGCTCAGTGGCATAAGCGCCTGCCTTGCAAGCAGGCAGTTGTGAATTCGATCCCCAGTACCGATAAAAAGGAAAAAGACAAAAAAAAAAAAACAAAAAAAAAAAAGACTATTTGGGTGTGATACTTGAAGTAAAGTGTTTTTGTTTTTTGGGTTTTTTTTTTTTTTGAGTGTTCTACTGGTATGTTCATCATAGTTCATATGGGAAATTATTTGTTATTTTTTAGACTTTGTATGCCAAAAAAACCATCAATGTTAAAAACTCTGGTGCTTTTTTTTAAATAAACACCATGTATTTTTTATATAAAGTTTTACAAATTCAGGGGCTGGGGATTTAGCTAAGCAGCACAGGTGCCTGCCTAGCAGGTGTGAGGTTGTGAGTTCAATCCCTGATACCCAAAAAATAAATAAAATATTACAAATTCAATACTTTATTTTTTAATTTTTTCTGTTAAGTATTCATTGTTAAATATAGTAAAATTCAAAATAACTCAGTAGAAATTTTCAAAGAATAAATATGAGTATTATACACCCACAATAATGTGCCTTTATGACAAAGTTGGTATTGTGCCCTTGGGGCTACTTACATTGTGATCAGCAAACTGGAAGATAACTGGGAATTCTCATTTCTTTTTTCTTTCTTTCTTTTTTTTTTTTTTTTTTTTTTTTTGAATTCTCATTTCTTTAGAATGGGCCCTGTGCTTGACAAACACAATCTCTTGCTAATGTGCACTGTTTTCATAGCATGATGGAGTTTTTTGGCTGGCTTTTTGAGATGTCTCACTTTGTGCACCAGGCTGACT